CGAGTTAACTGTTTGAGGCACACGATTATAAAAGAAAAATAAAATTTAAAGTGCGTAAAGGAACAGTAACTTGCTAACGCCTTTTAACTCGTATACATTTCTGATTCCAGTTATTGTATTCTTATCGTTAGATCATAGTATTTCCACATGAATGAAAAACCTTAAATAAAATAGTAAAACTGAGCAAAACGTGAGATAGATTTTAACCCATCTAACTTCAAAGAGTTAACTCATGCTTGCACTTGTATTCTCTATTTCAATGTCTGAAACCCAGAGCGATATGGAATATTCTAAAAGTTTTGCTCATCGTGTTACGTATGTAAAATATTTCATTTCAGTTCATTATGTTGGTAAAATGTAAATAAAGTTTATTTAGATTGCTTCAAATTCGCATTCAATTACGAAATAATAGCCAATGAGGTCGCTTCTGTGTAAAATTATCGGTCGACAGTGTGTTAATTGGCTCAGCTGGTAGAATAACCTTGAAATTCTATAATAAATAAACAATTTTCTAGATACACCAACCTACGAGGTGACATAGCAACCTGCGTCCCTAACTGTCCCGAGGGCTGCACAGGTGGAGACTGCGTATCTCCGGGTGTCTGCAAATGCAAACCCGGCTACATCCTGGACTCCACGCGCAGATGCGTTCCAGAGTGTCCCCGAGGCTGCATCAACGGCGAGTGCACCGCTCCAGGTGTCTGCAACTGTGGTCCAGGCTACGTTCTCGACACCAGCAACAAGTGTATCCCGGATTGTCCCCAAGGCTGCGAGAACGGGGACTGCGTAGCGCCTGGTGTCTGCAGCTGCAAGCCAGGCTTTGGTCTAGACTCCACGCGCAGATGCGTTGCGGAGTGTCCCCAAGGATGCGCCAACGGACAGTGCATCGCTCCAGGTGTCTGCAAGTGTCCTCCAGGGTACAATCTCGATCCAAACAACGCGTGCGTTCCGGACTGTCCCCAAGGGTGCGTGAACGGCGAGTGCACGTCTCCGGGAGTATGCAGCTGCAGGCCAGGCTACACTCGCGACCACAACGGCAGATGCGTTCCATTGGAAGGGATGTCCAGCACTGGGTCTCAGTGCAGGTTCGGTTGCGGGACGAACGGCACCTGCGTGGGCCCGAATCGGTGTATCTGCGACCTGGGATTCCGCGTGGATCCAGACACGGGCAGGTGCATCCCGTCACCCACGTCGTTCGAATGCAGAAACGGTTGCGGATCCCAGGGGGTCTGCGTGGGTCCCGACTTGTGCATCTGCAACTACGGGATGCAGCCCGATCCTGTCACCGGCAGATGCCCCGAGCCTCAGACCAATCCACCGACGTTCGAATGCCGTTACTTCTGTGGACCTCACGGCAGATGCGTTGAGACCAATCGTTGCGCCTGCGAGGTTGGATTCATGGTCGACCCCACCTGGGGGATCTGCGTCCCCCAGAGGACGCAACAACCGAGCGAACCGCAGAGGATACCTCAAACGTCTCAAACGTCTCAAACGTCTCAGACGTCTCAGACGTCTCAAACCGGCGAACCCATCTGCGAGAATCAGTGTTTGAACGGGGAGTGCACCGGTCTGAACCATTGCACGTGCAAACGCGGTTACGCGATGGATCCCAACGATCCCACACGCTCCAGGTGTCTACCAGTATGCATCGGCGGTTGCCCCCACGGGACCTGCACCAGCCCAAACTTCTGCATATGCGACCTGGGTTACAGGAAGGAAACGGGCGTGAAGGGTCGACAGAGATGCGTTCCGGTTGAGTAGAACTCTTTCGTTCGCGTTTGTCCATCCGCCATGCGTAAATTGGACGCGAATAGACTGTATGATTGCGAGTCGGTACGAATGAAAACGATCAACGACGTTGGATGTGTAATTGTATATCGCGGCAATTCTTTGTCGAGTGTCGACGTCGTTGTAATTTTTTCATATTAACGAATAAATAAAGCTGAAACGTACGTGGAAACGTTAGCGAAGTGCATTCGACGATTCTCTTATCGATTATTGTTAGGAGATACGGTATCACCTAACATCCTGTCTCGTCTCTGATGTCACAGGACATGATTACACGGGTAGGAGGAGGGGGTGTGCATAGGCGCCAGTGAAAATCAGTAATACGACGCGAAGTTTAGTTGTTTTCCTGTCGTTCGTTTGACAACTAATTACGAGAATGACACTCGCGAACGTTGCGATTTACGGTGGTTTCTTAATCGTCACCGCGAATTTAATTTCCTCGTTCAGGTTTCCCGCTCCGAGAGATCCCTCTGTTTGCCCCAAGGTATACAGGTGAGCATACTCCGCGAATCGTAGCTTTCTTTATTCTTCGATCGTCGTTAACTTAAATATGAAAAAAAAAAAAAACCGACTGGATACTCGTAGTTATCGAGCCACGAAACAGATTACGTATTGGGAGACGTATCGACAGCGGAAGTGGGGCATTTTCTACACAACGAAAACACGACAAAATTACAAGATACAGGTAAACATCTTCTCCGTTGAAGAACGATACATAATAAAAACAGTTGACGCGCTAACCGAGATGGGAATTTTCTCCATCTCCTAGCTGAACGAACCTAGAAAAGTTCGTTCATTTGAAAACTACGTTTCAGTATTACACCGACTACCGTACGGAAAGAGAATGCTGTCCAGGGTATAAAAAAACGCTGAGCGATATTTGCGAGCCCGTGTGCGAGCCCGAATGCGTGAACGGCAATTGCATCGCGCCCAACGAATGCTTATGTTTCTTGTCGCACGACTTACACAAGGACAATTTTTGCAAGCCAAGTTGCACTCTGTGCGAGCATGGAAGATGCAACAAACCGTTCGTCTGCGAGTGCGACGACGGGTACAAACTGACCTCGGACAAAGACACCTGCGAGCCGATTTGCGATACGAATTGTGAATCATTGAATGCCTACTGTTCGGCGCCCAACGAATGTACGTGCCTCGACAATTACAAGACGATGGATACCCACGAAACAGAGGTGCGTACTTAGTTTAGACGAAGAATCTGGTAGAAAATATAAACGTTATTACGGTATACCAGCTTACCTTTCAATTTTCCTTAAATATCAACAAAGGACAATCAAACTCGGGCGCATCATCGCTCATTTCCGTATAATTTTTTATTACTTCCATATTGTTCTCAAACTACACAAAAAGATTGTCGAAATTGCCAACCTTTTTTATTAATCCATTCGACATGGAGTTCGTGCGGTCGATTGACACAAGCATAATTTAAATTGTTAATCATTTAAATAGTTAAAATGAACACATAAATATTAGTGGAGCGTTCGAAGCATGCGATTTCTGTTGAATTCACCAGAAAATTTTCAATGGTGTACCGTTTTATAAAAATCTTTTATAAACCTCTGAAGATATTCCGGTTATTCGCAGTTAAACAAATGCTACCCGATCTGCGAGCTTCCCTGCCTAAACGGAGAGTGCACTGCGCCGAACGTTTGCACTTGCTTCGACGGTTTCCAAAAGAATTCGGACAGCAGCTTCGTCTGCGACCCGATATGCGAGCCAGAGTGTCAATTCGGCGTCTGCATAGCACCCAATACCTGCATGTGCTACACCGGTTACCAATTGTCCTACGAAAATATTTGCGAGCCGATTTGCAGCCAGCCCTGCGTGTATGGCACTTGCATCGCGCCCGAGACCTGTTCGTGCGACTTCGGCTACGGACTGACGGAGAATTCCTTGTACGTCTGCGAGCCAGTCTGCGAGAAAGCTTGCGTGAACGGGACCTGCATAGCGCCAGGGACCTGCACTTGTCACCTTGGCTTCCGTTGGTACGGCGACGAAAGCATGAAACACATTTGCGAACCCGACTGCAGGGGCATGTGTCTTTACGGGACGTGCGTTGCACCTGACACCTGCCAATGCATGGACGGTTACCAGCACATCGGTAAAGATATGCAAGAATCGGTGAGTGAGAGAGGAGTGAAAATTACGCGCAAACTGTTAGCCGTTACTGGAAAGTAATGTCGTTTTTGCAATTTTAAATACTCGTTTAACGATCATTAGCTCGTTCATTTACCGATTTGGCTTTCAAAATTTGCACACTAATAATTAATCTAGGTAAAACAAAGATAGCGGAGTAGGTAAAACAAAGAGCGCAAACGGTTTGCAACACTAATTTCAAATCGGTTGCGCCCGTGTGCGTTCGGCCTCACGCGGTCTCGGAAACGCTCGCCACCCCAGTCGTGTATCTTTTCAGGCATCGCGGTACTTCGTGGGCTACTCTAGCTGCGAGCCGATCTGCGAGGACGGCTGTGTAAATGGATACTGCATGTCTCCCGGGATGTGCGCCTGCCATCCAGGTTACGAACTGGCGGGGAACAACCCATCCCTCTGCGTGCCGCTCTGCACGATGAACTGCATCCACGGATACTGCAACGAGCACAACCTGTGCACGTGCGACCCAGGCTACGAACTACAAGGGCACATCAACGAATGTACGCCTATCTGCAACCCGCCCTGCCAGGACGGAGAGTGCATCGGGCCGAATCAGTGCGCCTGCGATATTGGTTACCAAGTCGTGGAGGATAGCAATATCTGCGACCCGATCTGCTACCCCCCGTGCGAGAACGGATACTGCTTTGCAGCCTACGAGTGCTCATGCAACGATGGCTACAGATATTCCCGGAATCTTTCGTACAGGTGCGATCCCGTTTGCGAAACATTCTGCGGCGACTACGGTTTCTGCGCTGCTCCAAACACCTGCAAGTGCGCGGAGGGCTATCGTTCCACGGGAAACGGAACGGTACTGGTCTGCGAACCTATTTGTCAACACGACTGCGAGAACGGCACATGCGAGTCTCCAGGTGTATGCGTTTGCAACCAGGGGTACGAGAAAGACGAGGAACAACGTTGCAAGCCCTTCTGCGCATTCTGCGAGAACGGTACGTTAGGATCTTTATTTCTTCGAGGACAGAATGTCGAATTCAAGCCTCGTAACTAAACGATTGCTTATAAAATCGTAAGCGATTCTAATTCGTTTGCGCTACCTACACAGCGTGTCACAGAATTAATGTAAGAAACGGAAATGGGTAGCTGAGACGATTCTGAAACGCGATTTCCTTTGCAAAAATGTCGTACGGTGCTTCGTAATTCTGGGACACCCTGTATATACAGTCAGTCCCGTAAGTATTCGTACCCTCCGTATTTATTGAAAAACATTCGTCCAATTTAAACGAATGCTTCATATTTCTAAATAAATTTGTAATTGTAAATGTACACGTGTGCAAACACACGTGTATAATACACATTACATATTACATATTACACGTGTATATATTTACAATTACAAATTTATTTACAAGCATGAAGCATTCGTTTATATTAGACAAATCTGTTCACACGTGTGTTCACACGTGTATATATTTGCAATTACAAATTTATTTAGAAACATGAAGCATTCGTTTAAATTAGACAAATACGTCAACGCATGTGTTCACACGTGTACATATTTACAATTACAAATTTATTTAGAAACATGAAGCATTCGTTTAAATCAGACAAATTTATTCGTGTACATATTTATAATAGAAAATAGATTTGGAAACACAAAGCCAAATTTCTTCAATGAATATGGAGGGCACGAGTACTTATGGGACTGACCGTATTTGTTCGATAATTATTCTTGTACCTCCGTTTACGGTAACAGGTACCTGTGTGGAACCCGAAATGTGCAAGTGCGACGAAGGCTACGTCTCGGTTGAACGCGAATCGGAAAGCAGAACCGTCTGCGAGCCGTACTGCGAGAACTGTTTCAACGGAAGCTGCACGGCGCCTGGGGAATGCCAGTGCGACGCTGGCTTCGCGAAAGATAGCACCGAGAACGGAACAGCAGGATGCGTCATGGTCTGCGAAAACAATTGTCACGGGCACGGATTTTGCATCGTCGAAAATGCCACCTGCGAGTGCCAGTACGGATGGAACGGACTGCATTGCGAGGAACCGACGTTCTGCGTTCTGGTACTGGACCCTGAGACCCCACAGACGAACGTGTAAATACTGAAACTTTAATCTGAACGGTCCATCGTTGGATTTTTCAATTCCACGCCTTGCCTGTTATTTGGATTTCTTTTCGTTTGCCAGAACAACCGTCGTGGACTATGTGAACGAGACCCTTGCTAGGGTGTTCGCGGGCAGTCCGTTGTGCTACCGCAATTGTTTCGACGAGATCGATAACGAGACTTTGTGCTTCGACGGATACAAGAACGACGGGGTGGTGAACGACACCGTCGCCTGTATAATGGGTGCGGGTAAGAAGTTCCAGTAAAAAAGGAATCACCTTGTTCTATAAGAATTACAATATTATATCTCGCGACGGAACTTGTTCACTAATTGGTGTTTTCCAGATTCAACTTGTCACTCGACCTTGTCTCAAACTACCAAGCCGCCGAATTACATTTACATAGTTGTAATAGCGAGTATCGTCACGGTTATAGCGGGAACCATCGTATTTTTGTTAATACGAAAACAGAAGAAACGGGAATATAACATCGGTAAACTATCTCGTTGATACAGGTAGATTCGAAAGTAGCATCGATAGAGATGAAATTTATAACGCCACTCTTGAGTCGTTCTGCATACCTCACAAGCAGTGTTATAGATAAAAACTTACTTCACTGTCCTGAACAGGTAACGCATCAACCGCGTCGACGCAAGACTCGTTGCTACCCGAAGATGAACGTCTCTAGCGTTGCTATGCTCGACGCATAGCCTGGAAGCAGACTGTGATATCGAAATTGATGAAACATGAGATGAAAATTTCAACTCGTTTCACCGATATTCTATTTTTCATTGGCCGTTTAAGATATTAAGCTTCAATTTCAACTTGAACGTGGTTTGCCTCCGAGGATCGTCGTTTAATAAATTGTTCCTCGAAACGAAGTTGTCGTAGTGACCTTAAATAAATAAAGTAACAAAGTAGCTTTAACTGCATTCTCGATAAATTTCTATTAAAAGCAACGGGCCCCTGAGATATCGTGCATCCGGTCTCGCTCGCGTTATGCGACGTAAACGCTGGTGGTGGGAAAGAGATAAACAGAACGATGTACAATTGTCGATGTACTCGTTGCAGTTCGTGTTTCGCAGGGTGAACGACGTCTTCTTTGCGCAAATAAACGCAAGAGAAAACGTTCTTGTCATTCTTATAGCACTTTTCAATTTATTAACACTTTGCACTCGAGACCTTTTTTTCTGATATCTATCAGCAACTCGAGATGCTTTCTTAGCATTCTGTTGTCACGAATTACGTTGTTCTGTTGTCACTTAATTTGAGATTTGAGAATCAGGTCACTTTTGCCTCAACGAAAATCATGTTATTGACATTTCGAGTATCAAAGAAATTAAACCTAAGGAAAACCTAGTGACGTCTGAGGGTCACCTCTCGAGTGCAAAGGGTTAACCTCGTCACGCCCTTGGTCGCATATGTGGATGTTTAGATTTTTATAATTACTGTCAATAATAAAAAGAACGAAACTTTGATAAAAAAAAAAAAATCGTTCTCGAAGAGGTTAATCATTTTCCGCACCGTTTCTCTTGCTAATCCTAGAAAACCGGCTAGACAAAACTTGGACAGCTTACAACTTTAATTACAATTAGCTTTTCGGAGCGAATCGTCAGGGAACCATAATCGAGTCGATCCACTAACACAAGACGCGTAAGGTGATCAAATTACGTGACTCGCCCTATACAAACGCGAGTCGAGAATTAAACCTGCGTAACCTACATTCGCGTATTATTTCCGTCCCGTTTCACGCTCCAGATTTATTTATCCCTCAAAGTATCAACATGCAATTAAGGATCACCCTGTACGCGTGGCGACGTCACGCGAAGCCAAATGACTACTTCCAGCGCGAAGCGCAAACCTCCTTTCCGCTCTGAAGAGCATCGTTGTCGACGATGAGACTTCGCGACCTCCTACAACGCTCTCCACAGGCTCGCTCTCGGAGCAAACGAACTTGGAATCGCTTCTCTAGGGGCGTGAACCATCGAGTGGCTCCAGGTCAAGTTTGGAACCTTTGACGTTTCCAGGTTTGAGAGCTGGAATTTCGTCTACTCTTCTTCGGGTGTAAAAAGATTGAATTTCGCTCCGTATCGATCGATCTTTCGCATATCCAATTCGAAGTAGGCTATAGATCGTGGCGAGAGGAAAACAGTCGCTGCGTGGGCGTGTATCAACAAGTTTCCAAACCAATCGTACAGAAAGGCGACAGACCCACCTGGAATTGTAGTCCACTCTCCCTCCTGGGAGTTAACGCAACAGTCTGTCATTGTCGAAGCACCATCCTTTCAGACCTCTTTCCGAGTACAATCCTCGTTTCTTCGCGAATCTTCCCAAATGCATCTCCATCCTTTCGGACTCGTCTTCGTTCACGGTTATCCGCCCTATTACGGCGATTTTCGTTCCCCAACAGCCATTTCCATCGATCGGTGAAGACTCTCCTACAAATCCGGATAAAAGTTCGCCACGTACTCTCACTTAGTACTCTCGAGCTCCCTTCGAAACTCGAATTCAAGAAACGAAGGGGATGAATGTCGACAAGGGTGGTCCCGTGAAAAGTACCCCAAAGATTCGTTCGAAAAACCGAAGGAGCGCTCCTCGCCATCGGAGCTCGCACAATCGGGCACCCCGAGAGGACGGAGCAGCCGTGATCTCGATCGACGCGGCACGGTAAGGGTAGGGAAAGGGTGGCGGATGGCATCGCGCAGCTGCGGCAGCGGTGGTCGACCGGCTAACGGAAGGAAGGCGTCAGTGAACGGGGGAGCACGGGACCGAGAACGCTGTTCCGCGGCATTCGTACAGTTCCCGTTACCCGTGCTGGGTTCTTGCCGCGTGCGCGGGTGGTTCGTCGTCGCGATCGTCTTCCGGAGTGTCGGGGAACCGAGGGTTCGCATCCGAGAGAGAATCGGGGCTGGCGTGAATTCGTGTACGAGACCAGGTGCCAGAGGCGGGGTCACGGAGTAACCGAGAGTCGTCGACGCGATATAAGGCGGACGTCGGAGGCGTCTAGGGCGAGAGGGCGTGCGGGAGGAGGGCGGGAGGAGGGGGGGAGGAGGGCAGGCGACGGGGAAGGATGTCGATGCGCCGCCGGTGGTCGGTTTCGGGGGTTGACTCGCGCCGCGGGGGCGATGAGCGCACTTCCCTCCGCCCTGAGACTGACCTGCTGCCGTTCCTGGCTCCTGCTGATCTGCCTCGTTCTCTGCCTGGTCTCGAGCTGCAGCTGCACACGCCAGGATCGCTTGACCCGCGGACTACAAGCAGGTGATGACGTGCGCGGCTCAAACTTCAACAACGACGACGAAGACGTCGATCTCTACGACGACGACGAGGACTACCTCGAGGAGAACATCACTGCGGGTGAGTGTTTCCGCCCAGGATCGATCTACCGTGGATTTCCTGCTCGGAAACCATGGTGTCGGGTGGCGCTCCACTGGCTGCCGACACCCTGCCGAGGATGGCGTCGATGGTGGTAACGATTTTGGGAGGGATACCTCGGTTGGAGAACCGCTGCGATGGTACAGAGAGTGCACGGAATAACGCGAACGCCTGCCGAGGACACCCTGTACGGGAACGAGCCACTATTTGGTACTGAACGTACCCTTTGGTACGGCACCTATCCTCCTTGGGAATAGATTCGACCGTCCAATGGTGTTGGAAGTGTTGGTGCTAGTGTTAGGGAATCCTTCCGCTTCGTTCCTCGATATCGCAGTGACTCGAAAGTTGTCTCGATGTTACTTGAATCGGGTGACTGTTGAGGACGTCGAAGATCATCTTCTTACCCGATATACGGACGGATTACGAACCTAAGCATTCAAAATACTCGAGTAACCACGGTAACACGATGACGGGGTCGGCTGAATGTCAGGGTACGGCCGCCCCGAATCGTCCCGGAGCACCCTCGTAATCGCGCCCATGTTGTGGCTCATGCTGTGGGTGTTCGTATCGTTTTGTGCAACCCCTGTATATCGGTACGAGACGTCGATGGGTGCCTCCGTTGAAGTTTTCACACGGTTGAAAATGGAACGAGGAGTTTGAAGAGTTGTTGACACGCGCGTGGGCGGTGGAGATGAAACGAGCGTCGCGAGTCTGCGGTAGAATCGCAAAGCGTGCGCGCAGAATTGCTGTTCTAGAATCGTAGGCGAATCGCGTCGAGGGTTAATCGAAGCACCGCGATGATCATGGGAATTTATTTAGTCGTCGAGACGAACAGGAACATCCCTTTAGCCGCGAGGTTTCGAATTGTTATGATTGAAATGTTGGAACGATGTTAGGAAGTGACTGTACAGGTTTGTGCAGTGACTAGGCGATTGGATCCGTGATGAGGTAGCTTCGGGTCCACAGAAGGAGAGCAAGATAGTGTAGAAAGTCCAACAAGTCTAGCGTATTTGAGGCGTACTTGCTTAGTCACGAAAAGTAAACATCGAAAAAGTACGGAATTGTCCTTTATTAGCTGCTAGATGGGGGATCGTTCTTATCGCCAAGTTCCAGGCTCCTCCTGTTCAAGGCAGGGCTTGTTAGTATAACCTTCTCTTCTATGCAAACTCGAGAGAATACATATCCTGCTGATAGGATCTGTATCTTTCAGCCTAAAAGAAGTCAAGGTTTGAATAATGGAAAATATCAAACTTGTCTCGAAAGTTGTCCGGCGAGATCCATTAGAATCGTTCTCGAATTTGGAAACTCCTGCGAATAAGTGAGCCAACTAACTCTCTAAGGACTACGTGAACTCCCGAATCGAGGGCACGTTTCTGAATCGTGCTCCCGTCGTATATTTTAGCCCCGTATACCGGCGCCGTTCGAACGGCTAGTTTGTCCCTCAATCGATACACGCCCTTTATAGGAGGAACGTTATCTTATTTTCTCGCGAAACAAGGACGATCGAACCGAACGCGTGTGTCTCAGGACTCTTGCCTCGCCTTCTTCGCGCTTGCTCGATAGGAACGTGCAAACACTCCGAAGAGAAACCTTCGGCCAAAAGAGTAAACAGTCGCGTTGTCGGTGTCGTTGTCATCGTCGTTCAATCGAGACGTTTGCTCTTCGCTCGATACACGAGCTGTTCTCATCTTTCGCTAAATTTGCATGCACAGGTACCCTCTTCGAGTTCGAGAAGTACGCGAACCAAAGATTGGCGGCTGGAGCGTGCCAGCTAAATGGAACACGCTGATCACGTTTTCACAGTTTTCGATAGTTTTTAGCTGGCATTCTAGAGCACGCACGTTTCGAATAAAGAATACTTCGACTTTCGCTTCTTCGCGGTCGTAGATCTTAAGATCCTATCTCTTTAAGAAATTCTGATGATCATTGCTTTTGGCACTATTATCATGAGCGATCTTTTAGCAGTGACGCTTGTTTACATCACTGCCGCTAAAGGGTGCATCTCTAGTAAATAACAATGCCAATCGAGAATTAATCCAACTGCAATAATTCTCAGTACTTCCCCTTAAAAATGATCCTTGCATATGGATGTCCTTGGATCGATCCGAACTCTCGAGCTCCGATTGACGATCCTCGTAATCGAGAATCTCTCCGCGGGTGTTCAAAGGGAGGTTCGCAACATTGGTAGGCAAACTCGCATTCTAACGAGTCTTCGACAGCTCTCCAAGCTCTATGCATTCGTAGTCGCAATTATGCAAATTCGACGCACGAAACTGGGTCTGACAAAGCGGAGGAAAACAAATATTACGGCGCTTCAGAGTCCACAACTGCGCTTGCGTTCGGCGTCAGGGATGTTTAAGGGATGACCTGTAGGGGCCAGAGGCCACCAAAGACTAATCTAAGGCAATTTGATGTATTCAGGCACGAGAACTAAGGCCTCTGATGTCTACTTCCTTGCAGGGAACAACGGGTTAAGTTTTCATTCACTCGCGTTTAAATAACACTAATTAATAGTACTGGGAGGAGAAGTTTCTCCCAAATGGAAATTGAAGATGACGATCTCGAGAACTTCGCTGGTGTTTTGGTAAATCCCAAGGACTTGCGCAAGGTAAATGTTTGAGTTCTAACGAGCGACCTCTGGTAGCCAAAGTATAAATAGAAGAGCTTGGAACCTTGCATTTTTGATCAAACGTGCTTAATTTTTCTTTCCCCTTCTCGATCCATTCGATGATACCATCATGGTATCCGCAGCCTGGGGATCTGGAAAATTTTAACCCAGCACTGGGTGGCTTGCACGACCGAGGAACCCGTCGTTCTTGATTTTCGCGCCAACCACGCTGCCGGTATTGATTTTAATGGATGCCGCAAGCTCTCTCGGTGTCCGCGTGTGGGAGTCGTGCACACAGCCTGCAGCTGCGTGAGATTCAAAGAAAATCTCGACTATCCCTCGCCCCGTCGCCGTTCCCAAGAGCGAGGAAAAGGTTAACGAAGAGATTTCGTGCGTCGTTCAACCCCTATTTTCGTGTCCGAGTCGTTCAGTCGAGTTCCACTTGGGGGCTGCTCGGTTAGTGGCGTGAAACACCGGCGAATCGCACCCCCTCCGAATTGCACCTTCTCTGAACCGTAATCGCGGGGTTGATCTGCATAATTATTGGGGCCGCAGAGGACTCCTCGTAAAACTGGAACACCCTGTTCGATGGTTGAGCAATTCCCTTTCACTTGGACAGTGCAAGATGAAATGTTCTTAGCAAACCTGGCACGATACAGTGCGCATTTTTTAATGTTCATTTCTTGGTTCCTTTCTCACTGTGCATTTACAGTTAATCCCATGAATACTCGCACCCTCTATGTCCATTGAAGAAGTTTGACTGAATTAAATAATAGTTTTGATATTACCAAATGAATTTTTCATTATAAATACGTATACGAACAAGCTTATACATGTATACAATCGAAGAAGTTTGTTTGAATCGAATAATAATTTTGATATTATCAAATGAATTTCTCATTATAAATACGTATATGAATAAGCTTATACATGTGTACATTTATATATACATCAACATATTTATACAAACATGCACTCGGAAATATCAAACATCTTACGTTTCATTTAAACAAATTTCTTCGATAGACATAGAGGGTACGAATATGACCGTCTGTATTTGTTTTAGATGATGTACAAGAGAATATAAAAGGTTCGTTAAGACTGTTTTATGTTTGACTGTTCGAGGAACGCCAGCAGGATGCGCGACGAATTCTGAATTCCTTATTCGAATTACGAGTAATAGAAACATTACGCATGCGTTCCACGTGTCGTCGGGCAACGTAGACAGAAGAGGACGTCACATTCGAAAAGTCACTCTACTCCGAGCTATGCCGTAGACTGGAGTTCTTGGGGAGCCGTGTACTCGCTGGTAGAAATACGTAACGAGGCCGTGGAAACTGTAGGGGGTGAAAACTGTAGCGCACTCGAGTAACGGGAGTCAAAATCTCAGGGGCGAACTTTTGTATGATCTTTTGTACTTTTAAAAATGTCGCTTTCCGTGCCACCCGAGTACGCTTCATGAACTAAATGTAGACTCGCTGCGTAACAATCTAATAAATGCTGCGTTTAGAGAAGACGGTATCGACGGTGCTGGTTACTCAAATATATATTTTTGAAGACTCGCGACTAGGATCAGAAGTTTTTCGAATATATAAAAGAGCAAAGCGATGGGAACTTTGAAACGTCGTCGATGTTTGCAGACTCGCGGCAGAACGAAGGGGCAAGGACAGCGATAGAAAAAGCTTCCCCAAGGTTCTGAAAGTGCCAACGTCGTATCAGCAGAAATCACTGCCCCAAGTCGGCATTTATTCGACGCAGTAAGCTCAACCCGATTCATCCGCAGGTTGAGGGATCGATCGACCCGACTGCCGTGACCGGAAGTTTCTAACGGAAGCCTAATTCCTACCAAAAATGACGATTCAGAAAATATCGTCTCCTCTGTTGTATCACCGACAACGTGATATTTTTCTTATTTCCGAAGCACTCGTGGAAGTATCGCTCGGATAAAGCTGGAATAAAATTTCGTCCATCGCTGCCGACGAGGGCCTAAAACGAAATGGTTCCGAACGAGCTATATTCGCGAACGTTACGATAGCCCCAAAAATGTCTTCCTGGGAAAAAGTCGCCTAGCTCTCTGGCGGTTACAGTTTCGAAGAAGCTTAATTAGGAAGCGGAACGACGCGATGTCGCGGATACGCTTCTGAACGCTCGCCAACGAAGTTAATGGTTGTTACCGCGGCTCCTTAACGCGAGCCACCCTGCGAAACATTTAATAACGATGTAATACCGTAATTAGGGTGAAATCGATAGTCGTCTGGCACTTTGCCCGACCCTGGTAACTCTGACCAAATGGCGCAATTAACGGGCGAAAACTTAGCGCGCTAATTCCCCAAAACAAGGGAATCGTATAGATAAAATATATCAAATACCGTTTAGGATAAATGTACCCCTGGGTATGCAGCATTAGTGGATACAGGGGAGATATTTATAGCGTCCGCGAGATAAACAAAATGCGGTATACACGACTTCGGGGTATTCTGACAAACAAGGGTAGCGGATATCCGAATCGACGAAATTGATATAGAGGGTGGACGCTTTCGTTTGCCTCCGGAGATGCACGCGGAGACGTCAAAAGTCTTTTGACGGTAAAGTGGCCTGGATAGTGAACCTAACAATGGTTCGTCGCTTCATTAATCGTGCAACGTGTATGTGTGGATCGTTTAGAATGGCTCGACAAACAGACGCCCGTAACAAGGGCCTTGTAGCTGCGCGTCGAAAGAGAACACAAAGACGCGTATCGGAACGGAGAGCAGTTGAAAAGGACTGACGCTCTTCATCGACCGTCTAAATGATATTCGAAGAAAACGAGGGAAATATTACAGATTCCATAGATGTATCAGAAAATCAGGTTATCAATGTTAAGCCACCTACAGCCTGATAGATAATATAGATAGAGCCTAAATAGATAGCCTCTTTACGAGACACCTCGAGTTCTAGACGCTGTGGCTATTGTTTACCAATGATTAATGCAGAGGTGGTGTTGTTTGAAAAAAACAAGGGAAATTCATAGATTGCACAGATTTATTAGAAAACCAGGTGTCGGATATCGCTTAGGTGATGTTTGAAAAAAACAAGGGAAATTCATAGATTGCACAGATTTATTAGAAAACCAGATGTCGGATATCGCTTAGGCTAATCTGCGCATTCGTTACTTTAGGTTAGTCGATACTTTTTATTTTCATAGGATAGTAAATATTTTTAAATTTCAAACCTAGTCATCCGTCCGTACACCAACTACGACCCTCGTACCCTTACTCGCCAACTTCGAATAATACGTCTGACCTTAATATCCAACGATCCTTATTGGCCCTTCCCCTTTTATTCCCGCCACCTTCTAAATCCGTAATCCAAAACCTTTAAAAGCACAGTAAACTCTTCCCGCGTGCTTTTTGTTCCTCACATTTAACAGAAGTAGAAACGCAGCGGTAATCTAGTCTTTAAGTACCGTAGTCGTAGTAGAAACCGAATATAGAAGTAAATCGGAATCTAACATAAGGTTATCAATAGACTGCGGATCTTTATGCATTTATAAGAAATTTGAATGTGCAGGAATCTGCAAAATGCAAACAATACGCAAGAATATAAAAAAAGATTAAAAGTAAAGTTCGTGTTACAATATTTGCAGAATAAAATAAATTCCTATTTGGGTTCCATTTTTGTAGGCGCGTTCGCGAAGATTTTATTTTGCATAAAAATCCGCGGTCTAGTTATCAATGTTACCCCACTTGCTCGATAACTTTCTATACGAGTATCTTAAATATCCCCTACCGTCTAGGATTAGAAAATATTAGGTGGACTGGAAATTAATGTCGTTTCTGCGAATCTCGATGCTTATTTATCATTCATCGGCTCATTGATTTTTATCGATCTGGCATTGAAAATTCGCGTACTATGTAGATGGCAAAAAGCTATTGATTACGAGAGTTGTTACATAATTGATTAAAAATAGAAACTTATTACGAATGTATTTGTTTGAATTGAATATAAAAGAAATGACATTACTTTTCGGTCCCCCTAATAGACAGCTTACGAGATATCTCCTTATGAGATATCTCGAGTTCTAAGACACCCTGCCTATTGTTTGCCAATGATTAATGCAGAAGTGGTGCCTTCTGGGAGAGGGTTTTATTATTGACTCGAGAGTACGAGCGTGCTAGTTTAAGGAACGTCGTGCATATTTGATCTACTATCGAGAAACGTCGTATATAATTCAACAGGCTATCGATTTATCCTCTTTCCAGCGAAGGGGCAGTACCTGGGCTCGCCGTGCGATGTCTCGTGCAATCCGGAACTGCTGCACGTGTTCTGCGACACGGTCACTGGTCACTGCGAGTGCGAGAAATTCTATCCAGTTCGTCTTGGGCCTAGCAAAGGATGTGCCAAACGTATGTAGCACGGTTTGAACGTGATCGTTCAACTAGGTCGTTCCGATACAAAAAAAAGAAAAAAAGAAAAGAAACTCTATGGTAACGCGGACAGCGAGACGGGAAAATAAACGTCGACGGAGAGACAGAGGGGAAGTCGGTATTCCCTCGCCTTTAAACGATTGTTCGACGCGTCGTGAAAGGACGTTTTGTGTTTCAACGCGTCCCTCCATAGGGTCGATTCGACAACGCGTTCGCGAATTGATTCGTTCGCCTGTTCATCGAATCGCTTGTCACCGATGAACCTGGTAATCCACGTATCAAGGTTGGAACGAACGTTCCCAGCCCGGTTGATTCTTTCCGATGTGAAAAACAATACTATCGCGTAACTGCATGCATTGCCCTAACACTTTACCGACCAGTAACGTTTGGACATACGTGTTACTTCGATTTAATAATATTGTTTAATTTCGTAACATTAGTATTATACATCATTTATTTTATCCATTAGAACCGTTTTATGAATTATATTTATATTAGGTGGTCCCATAAGAAACGTACCCCTAAGTGTTATAAGAAAAAGTAATCTCTTTCGTTTTACAATATTATTCCATCTTTTCGACACAGTCGTTATACACTCGCTATAAAATTTCTGTAGTTTTTTTTTTTTTTTTTTTATTAAATACTAGTATTTCGTAATTCGCATAATAATGGGAGCAAACAATGGGATCGTACCATCTCAGTAATAAATAAGAAAGTATTGCACTCGGTTATTCATACAAGTTTATGGAGTTAGTAAAAAGGTTCGAGAGGCTAATATGAAATGGAATTTGTGAATTTTTTTGGGGTGGATAATCTTTTCCCATTGGATATCATCAAGTACGTCTTAGACTCTAGACTTTTATCTATCGATTCTGTGAGTTTCATTTGAAAGTAGTTGGAATTAAACATGTTCCAAGCATTCGTAAACACTCTGTATGAGAACTTCGGTTCCAATCCGATACGTCGTCTTGTTCGCTTTCTCGAAACTCGTCTCGGGGGGCCTGAACGTGACCCTTTCGTTGAAAAACTACAAGCCTCAGTTTTGCCCAAAGCTATCAATCGAGTTCTGAAATATCAGAGCAATCGAAGCTCGAAAGCACCCTGGAGAGTAATGTCTAAGGTTCCACGTTACCAGTTGAGGGTTGAAACACTGGGTAAGATCAACGAGACGCGGCAGTGGGACACCAGAGAATTAAACGAGCAACCGGTTTTCCAGCCAAAAGACTCGGGGAGCAATGCTTCTATCGCGCGACATGCACTTTTTCGGATCAACATGCGACCTGCACCCAGGTGCAGCACAACGCCGTGTGCGACTGCGAGGAGGGCTATCATAGGGTTGCCTTGTCCAGGCCTAACAAGAAGGTGTTCTGCGCCGAAGGTACACCATGCCAACTAATCGTCAAACCCATTAACACGTTCCTGAAATTCCCCTTACCCCTTAAACACGTTGATCGCCACGTCACATATGGACCACAGTTCTTTACACTGAAGTACGAAAAAAAAAAAAGTGATTCTGAATGTTTAGCAACAAAAGAAATGTATTTAAATGAAATTCATGGATTTTGATGAAGTTATACAAATAAATAGCCTCCAATAGTCTAAATAATATTCAATCCTAGTAGAAATTTTCAAGAATATTTCTATGGCCGTCAACGTGTTAACAATTCCCTTATAAATTCAACAGCTGACGCCCCGAACCGATGTTAGGATGGAATCAAGCGTATTCGTTATAAATTAAAATTTCTTCTACTCGGGGAATATTTAAATAACCACGGTATAATCGAGTGTTTGAAGACTTTTAAGAAAGTACGAATATTAATCCGAAGAACGCTCGGATATTAGCGAAGACCAAATTTCCGTGTCGTGACCAGAGAAGATAATTAGGTGACCCATTTCGAGCAGAACACTCCGTGTACTCGACTTGATCCCATCCCTATCTATATCGCAAGTCCCTGGCGAGCTTTCATTCTCTTCCAAAGTGGTTATAGATCGAAAGCCTGGAATCGCAATCTGTTGGCAGATCTGGTGCTGATAACTACGGATGTTCCGACCCTGCTCTGCATAGCATCGGGAATAGCGATATTCACGGCGATGATATGCTTCGTGCTGAAGTTATTCAGCCGTGCGAGATACTCAAGGCCGCGGCACTATGCCAACGCGAACCACGCGCCGCCCATGCTGTTCTCCAGCGACACGGGTGAGTACTTGTGCAACAGATCGACGTCCCCTCGTCGAAAATCGATTCCCTAACTGATTCGAGATCGCTGAATTTTAACCCTTCGCGGTTCTACCAAAACTCTAAGCCGATCTAAAATCTGACAGGGTTAAGGCGTACGGTTACCCAAATACGGGGCAATATTTGTGAATTTTTCACGTGCAAAATGTGTACCGTGGAAAGTTCACATTTGGATACATGAATACATATAGCTCGAAGTATGTCGCGTGAATTTTGTATCGGGAAACATCGGAAAATGGCGTCGCATCAGCTCCATATTCGTCGTAGCTCCTCCGAGTGTGTTTGCAATGCGACTCGGGATTGTTCGATCGCCTACAAACATTTTTCGATGCAAATTTTACAACATATACTCCAAACTATATATATATATATGTTGTAAAATTATGTTGATCGAACAATCCGAGTTGCATTGCAAACATACTCGGAGGAGCTACGACGAATATGGAGCCGATGCGACGCCATTTTCCGATGTTTCTATCTATATACATATGTATTCAAAATTGAGCTTTCTGCGTTGCACAGTCTTCACGCTAAAAATACCGAAAATTGGCTCGTTTTTCGGAGGGTCAAGGCAGTTATAGGCCTTAACGAGGTAAACCCAAATAAATTCGCCGCTCGATAGGCTAACCTTGCCTCTGATCGCTCCACCAACTTTCCCCAAACTGTTCCATATTCCGTTACGACGTTATCCTTCCCTCTGTAGAATCGATAACGTTCACTATCGACGAGGAACTCTGTCACCTCCGAAGCTGTCTATTTTCAGTTCGTCCTAATTCGTTTGAAGAAACTTTGAGGGGACGCGTTAACCGTTTGCACTCGAGAGGTGACTCTCAGTCACTACTAGGCTTCACGCAGCAAATCTACCAGCAATAATGTTTCTTTAGGTTTCATTTCTTCGGACCACGAAGTCTCAGTAAAATGATTGTCGGTGAGTTCGAGGCGATCCGATTCTCAAATCTCAAATAAGAGATTACATCTCGGAAGTCGATCGAACCTTAGTTAACACAGATTCGTGACGATAGAATACTGAGAGAGCATCTCGAGTTGCTGGTAGATACTAGAAAAAAAAGGACTCGAGTGCAAGGGGTTAAATACAGCTCAAGTCCTAGCAGAAACTCTGGAGGCAAACCTGAAGTCAGAGATTAACCCTTTACTACACCCTCTATTATAGGTCCATGGATTATATTACTCGAACCACGCAACGAGGCCTACAAAGCTTCCCAAAAAACAATGATCCCATAGAATTCTTCCAGGGGTATTAATTTTGCCACTTGACAAGTAGTGGGAACGATGCCTAACGATCTATAATCGACGAAACTCCAACAGGTATTCCACTGACACTCCACGGCGGCCGACCATCGTCGCGCGCGAGTCAAAGAAGCAGCACCGGAGGACCGTTGACCTACGCGTTCACCAGGAGGCCTAGCAGCGGCGGTAGTCGCGGTCCGTTGGTACCAGCGTCGAGAGCAGGTGCGGCACGTGCCGCCGCCATCTTGCTTATATCGTGCCACCTGCAGGCGACCAAAGGCGGGAACAAGCATCGACGTACCCTTAGCGACGTTGCTGAGGGATCGTCCGACGGCCTCGGTAGACGATCAACGATCTCTTTCTAACTCTTTCGTTGTCTGTCTTCTCTTCTCTCTGTCCGCATTACTTTCACACTTTGTACACCACCTCTGTCCGTTAATCTTCCTTTTCTTCTTCTCGTTCGAATGATTCGTTCTTTGGCCGTGTCTTCCTTCTTTCTTCTTCCGTCATCCACCGCGAACTGGTACCCGACATCTGACGCATCGAGGAACCCGTGCTTTCGCGAGGGAATTTATCAATTCTCGCTATTTTCGAGGCTGACAGAGTCTAACAGAGTCGCGCAGCCGTCAGAGCATCGGACGACAGTTCGCCTGGTAGGGTTGCCGCACATCGACGAGTTTAAACGAGACGGTTCTGTGCCTGAGAGGCTAAGGCCCTATATGTGTGTGTGTGTATGTGTGCGTGTATATGTATATATATAAAGCCTTAGCTAAGGCCGCAAAGTCCTTCTTCTCGGGTACAGAATTGCAGAGCAGAGAGGGGATCGTCTCCTTATATGTTTGTACAGTGCATGTGTCACGCGATCCAAATACGTCAATTTGCTGCGAAAAACTTTAAGTAGGACGCAGGAATAAGCATGCGATCGCAGGACCGTCCTACGAGAACTAGGCCGCGTGGCAACCCTGCCGCGCTACCATATCCACTCCTTTCTGAGTATCTGTCAAACTAACTTCTCGCTCTTCTGACTATCTTTTCTCTCATCCCGCCCTACGCGAGTCGCCTGCCAAGCGGGCGACACCGATGACGAAGAAGAAGAAGATGGTGTGGTGGTGGTGCTTCGTACCATGCCGTTGTCGCTGTTGTGTCGTAGTTGTTGTTATTGATACTTAGCGTCCCCCGTTCCAAAACCCTCCGACCGCGTCTCCCGACTTTCCTCGATCGCGATCCTCGCGTCGCGTCAGAAAACAAATTTTCCAACTGTCAACGGGAACTTCGAGGAAACGAGGGAAACGCGGAACTCCGACTTTCGTTCACATTCCCGGACACGAAGAGGCCACCTCTCTCTGTTGTTTGCCAACAATTAGAACGTTGCTTTTCTATTCTTCGATGAAAGAATATAAATTCTTTCGTCGCCCGACGATGACCAGTTGCGGTGCTACCTAACGTCAACAACAACAAAAAAAATGAAAATATTTCGACTATCCGCATCACTCTTCACCCGTGTCTCACACAATCACCCCCCCCCCCACCCCTCCCCCTCCGAAAGATACCACGGTACACATACGTGTGGCATTCGAAATGTGAACACAAAAGCCTCTACATTCACGTGAATATGATTATAATGTAATGTCCAGTAATAAAGCGCTGCACGAGTGTGTTACGAGATAGCAAGATGGCAGCGGCCGATTTCGTTGCTCGTTAACGAACGAACGTTCTCTGGTAAGACGTAGAGAGACACGAAATCTTTACGCACTAGCTAGCTCGCTGCACACGCACGCACAAAAATTAAACGGCGTCGGATCGCATGCGATGGGCCCGGCTTTCCAGGTGACACTTCAATCATTAACGAACACGACCACGAAACGAGGTTAAATCTTTCAATTAAGCTTCGCCGTTATGTTCTCGACGCTACCTATTTTGCCTGCCACGACAGCGAAAAGGACGACGAAACCGCTTGTTTGCTAATTGGAGACCGCCTACGACGTGGTTTGTTTGCTATTATACTCTTCTATTATACGAGACTCGTCTGATAGTCGCGACAGTTACGCGTTTCTTGTCGCGAGTCCTCCATGATTGAAGACTACGAGACATGTAACAACTAGGCTATTGTTTCGCTTCAGCTTGTGTTTCAATGGCAGAACGTCCCAACAAAGGAAAGATTTCACTCGATTCCAAAGAGGTACACGGTAGGCCTGCAGAAAACTCGGATGTTTCGAGTTGCTCGCGAACCGAGTCGAGCTGAGACCCAGTTTTCGATCCGAGTCGAGTACTCTGAAGAAACAGAACAGCTCGAAGGAACCGAGTAGCTCGGACAGAAGCGAGCGGCTCGGACCAAACCAAGTAGCTCGGAGAGAAGCGAGTAGCTCGAAAGAACCGAGTAGCTCGGGCAGAAGCGAGTTGCTCGAAAGAACCGAGTAAAGGTCGATTCAGACTATAAGAACTACTCGGTTCTTTCGAGCTACTCGGTTCTTTCGAGCTACTTGGTTTGGTCCGAGCCGCTCGCTTCTTCCGAGTACTCGAACAGCTCTAGTACACGGATTGTTTCGTTAGATGTGCTTGCTAGAAGAAGAGGAAACTTCCGCCTTTCGTGCTTTACTCGTTGTTACCGGGGCAAAATCAACTGTCTGCACAAGGACGCCATCCCCCACCGTATCGTTTAACTACCCCCACCGTTTCATCCCTCGTTCGCGCCAATCAAACGCTCCCTCGAGTAGAGGAACAAGTAGGCGACGCTGAAGTGGGAAACGTCCTTCGACGTTCAGTTGACTTTGTCCCGAGTATAGCTGTCTATATGCAACGGAATGCACATGTGCACTGTCATTCTTTCTCTGTCTAGCTGGATTTTCTGTCGCCTTTTGAATGCGCCGTTAATCAATAAAGACTCGTAACGAGGCGCCTCAATTAGGAACACTTGAACAGCTCGCGAGTAGCCGTACTCTGCGCAAATGATATACATGTAACTTCGATAACCCCTGACTTTATAAATTTCACCGTTCACACGATGCAATGCGCTTTTATTTGAATGGAATACGGTTTGAAAGGGCTTAGCGAGCACAACGATTAAACGCTCGCGGTTTCCAGCTTGAAATCATCTCCAGAGCTTCGCGGAAATATTTCGCGGCGGAACGTATTATTCAATTCATTTCGACCAAGTACTTTCGTGAAATTTCGAAGATGGTCTCGAGTCGGAAATGAAACGCGTTTAAATATCGAGCTTCTCGAGAGCTTCCGAAGCGCATTAAAAAAACTTCTTTTCGAAAGTCTGCTGTGTTAGACGCTTGTAGCTGTCCCCTTCCCTCCCCCCGGCCCCCCTCTGTTATGAGAACTGTTATTGATTAGTGAGGAAAAACTCTTGTGAACAGACCGCCTGCATTCGCTTACGCGCGTGTGCTCGCTAAAGAAATACGCTTTTCATACTCCGCGCGTCACGAATACACCAGCAACGCTCTTTCACTCTCGATAACAATTTTTACACGACAACAACCTTGCACGGTCGTTCGAGATCCCCGATAACCGAACACACGGAATACTTTTCTCCGAATACGGGAATTTTTGCACCCACCCCTTGGATACATCCCCCGTGCTGCTATTTTGATCTCCGTACACGATTCCTCAAGTTTCACTCTCGTCTCGCGTTTTCTCTATCTCCTTCCTCCCCTTGGCTTTGAGACAATCGAAGCGAGAAGAGAGCTATCGACGCTCTCGACGCGCAGCATCGGAGTGCGATCATCGAGCTTGCATTCTCATCGGCGAAAAAGTACCGCGGGGCTGGGACTAATCAAACATTTTTAACTCTTTGCACTCGGATGTCTTTGTTAGTGATTAGGAGACTTTATTAAGAAACTTTATCAGTGATTACACAGGATAAACTTATGGGAGCGTAAAATTTGTAAAAGTGTACGATTCCTTGAAAAAGGTTTCTAGTCAAATATCACGAAAAATTAGAACCAAAATCTGGAAATTAGAAATTAGAAATTAGAACCAAATCTACATGTATTAAGATATATATATAATATATAATATGAACTTGTGTTACATGAAAAAAGAATGTGCGAATATTCTACACCTTAAAAATGCGACAAAGAGCATTTATATAAGAAAGTGAGATGTGGGAACATGTTTTGTATGACATGGTGCAATTTGTGAAGATAAACAAGAAAGTCTAAGATTGCGACTTAAGAGATGGAAACTATCAATGCATATCTACGACTGTTTCACAAATTATCACATATTATAATAGTATAAAATGTTGACTTTTGACAGAAATATAAATGTTCCTCGATGTCTAAAGATTCATATAAGCTCAAGTATCGTTACAGTTTTCAGTACAGATTTCGGTTTGCGCATTCTATAACGAAATAGCTCCGAGTGTAAAGAGTGAATTATTTTAAGCGATCTTAGACAATTTTCTCTGTTTCGAGACTTAAATACTTCCTCTTCTTTTTACAATATTTTATTATCAAGTTCACATGTATCTAGACTGTAAAGGATCATCGTATATTATCTTATATCTTTGTAATTACGATACTTAATAACGAGTGGTCCCTAGCCCCACGGCCCGAACTGATACCAACGATGTAGATAAACGAGAGTCACGCTGGTACATTTCGAATAGTCGAGCAGACGCAATTAGAGTCCGTATTCTGAACGACATCAGCCTAGGCAATTAACTCTTAGCGTAGCGAGAGAGAATAGGGACGTTCGTCGAGGAACATCGAACTCACCTTTCACCCTTGTTTCCGATAGGTTCTCGTCGTCCTAGCTTAACCTCGGTTCACAGTTCTACGTCCTCGGCGCGTAGTTACAGCGCGCGACGTCTCGAGAAGGAAAGGAACGAGAAGGAGCAACGTCAGGCCCTGCAGGAGCTGAAGCTGGCCAAACAACGGGAGCAACATCAACAACAGCAACAAGTCGCGCCCACGCCCAGCCCCAGGACGCCTCACTCTACGGACGAGCTGCTGCCCTCCGTGGAGGAAGGGAAAGAGGTCTTTTACAACGAGGTATCTTGCGAAGAGTATACAGGGTGTTTCTACATAACCGTCCCATGAAGACTCGCCAAGACTCGCCATGACTCGCTATCTCTCTCACGTAGACTCATTGGAAAGCTATTATTTTTCTCACTTTTTTCCCCTCTTCGTCACGTCACGTTTCCAAGAAGACAATGTACGACGTACTAGTTACTTCGTTAAAGTTTAGAAACTCGAACAGATCAAAGCAAACATCACCCAACGCGCATCCGTGTAAACACGTAATCTACAACCACTACAGTCACCCAATGGTCTCGAAATGACTCCGAAAAAATTGAGAAAATCGGTTAAAAAGTACGCGTATCCCGTGCTAGAGCCCTCTTGCGAAACACCCTGAATAGGATATTGTAGACGCGCGAGAAGAGTGCCGCGAAACCTAGAACATTTGAAAAGCTCCAGAGCCTCGTGAAATAAGTGAGTTTGCGACGCTCTTTCTCTCGCGCGCTTATAATAGTCGCGAGTTTAAAAACCGCCATCACGAACCGTCGGAGATCATCGTGCCCTCTGATCGCAACGTTTATTACACGTCAGCAGGTGCCGACGACATCGGACGCCATCGAGGAAACGCTGGTGAAAACGACGGCGGTGACGACGACCAACGTGAACGCGAGCATATTCGGGGAGATGACGCCTGTGACGACCTCGACAACGTCCATCTTCGAGACGAACATCGCGCCACGGGCCACCGGTGACATTTTTCAAGTGTAGTTAAGAACCAGAGCCGACCAGAAAATGGACGGAACGCGCGATACCGCGAGACTCGAATCGTCGACGGAGGCAGTGAAACCAATCGCGTCTCGTCGCGTCACCGTCGAGAGGCGAGAACCAGTTGCACACACGCCACACAATTCTAAACGAAACGACGCCACGCGTTTGAACGGCCAACAGCCACGAGCCTAGGGACCGACCAACGTGGAAAGCGTTCGAGGGATCATCTGGAACCGGAAGTCACGGACGACGATGGCGCTCGAACGATAACTGTAGGTCAGAGATGGGCGAAACTCTCGAGGCAAATTTGTCGAACGAGGAAGAAATAAACGATTTTAACGACTAGGTCCAAGGAGGGATCACAATCTCATTGTTTCGTTAACACTTTACCGACCTGTAGCCGATTAATCGGCTTTTTGTCCTCAACGTTTACCGTACAATATTTAATCGGATACTATGGTAACTAGCAAGTACCTGTTACTTTGAATCGAGAGACTAGTTTTTCTTATTCAAAAAATACCGTTATATCAGTGATTGGCAAAACCCTAGGCTTCGAATAAATCTGAAGTTTGCCGATCGGTTTCTCTCGTTTCCTTCTTTGGAAAATGTTCAACAGAAGAAACGAGACAAACATATCCGCAAACTTTAGATTTATTCGAAGCCTAGGGTTTTGCCCATCGCTACGTTGTATGGATTACGGTATATTATATCAATATTAAACTCAATTATAATAGATAAAATAAATATTGTTTAATACTAATATCATGAAAATAAAAGATTTGATTAAATTTGATTATCTTGTAATAACAGAAAGAGTACAATTTTATCTGAGAATAAGAAAAACGCATGTATTCCCGCGCGACAGTAGTCGAAACAGAGCCGGCGCCAGAAAAAATCTGCGGCCCAGTGGCCGGTCAGAAGGGCCTAGGATGTTGAATCGCTACCGGTCGGTAAAGCGTTAAGAACTCGTTGACTTTATTGAATCGGTACATTGTTATTTCATGTAATCTTTCCTTTTCTAACACTTTCGAGTGATTTTACGTCGACCGAGAGCATTCGTTGCTTATTATCGAAACAAACTTTTGCCCATCTCTGACGGTAGGAGGGTAGAAATGGCAGAAGGATCGTTAAAGCTGAAATTTGTTCGAGCCACGCGCGAAGGCCTAGAAGAATTATTTATTCTAAAAGATATATTTTTAAATACCTAGGTGCGGGAGGTACTTAGACGCGGAGCCAGCTTTCTGAAGATGTCAAAGTGGAAGTGATTAGAGAGGACGCGTTCGGCTGTGAATACGTAACATTCAGGAATGTACAAGAGTATGTAAAATGTCGTCGTTACGGGTACACCGTATGGTAACTGACTACGTGCCGTGTGTTTAGGGGCCGAACGAGGTTTCACGCAGGTTTTGAGTCAGCGTTCCTTCACTGGGAATGTGGCAGGACTCGAACGACACATTTTAAATATCGAACTCGCGATATGATTGAAAATATATTAGAAGCATTTACTGTACCGCAAGGAACAGCTTAACTTTAACTACGACAATTATTGCGTTGGAGAATCGTAACGCAATCGTACACTCGCGATTCCTTCCATAAATTTTAAATCAACGTCGAGTCGTGCCACTTGGCAGTCGAGGATCGACGAGTGACGAGAAGGATGAAACATTCGGAATCATTTTTTACGGCTTAAATTTTTGAAGCATTCACGGATCATTGGTTCGTCGGTGGGATTTTTTTACGAAGATACAGGATACCTTGAGCGTAAACGAGCGATCGAGCACAGAACAGAAATCAAACTTCTCCGATTTACACATGGATGTTCGGTATGATAAATACTCCGTTACGATTTACTTACATATCAGTGAAATATCGATTTTTTGCTTTCCCCCGCAGAGTTGGAATAAAATTTCGAATAAGTTCAACCCCCTCCCCCCCCCCCCCCCCGTCTCGGGGATTTTTACTCCGTATTCGTTAGTCGAAACGAAGTTCGCCCGACTCTGTTTCTCGTGTCGACAATTTCTCGTGTCGACCGGGCTAAATCGCGATACCGAACTTGCTAGTTCTCGTTGTGTTAGTAGAGTATCTCGTCCGACGTGCAAATTCTACATCTTTCCGATCGAAAGATCGACCAAACAATCGCAAGAGCCGAGTGTTTCTGGAAATTCTACACTAATTTCGCGTCGTAAATTTCTACACGAATTTTTTGCAACATCTACAGACAACTAATTGCTAAAATTAAATCACATATCAGCGACGAATTAAAACGATTCGAATGCAGAACAGATCCAGACGCAAAGGAAACGAACAAGGAACGTTTCGTTGGAAACGTGCAACGTGAAATGTTTTTCTCTGCGACTCCTCGATTGGACGTGCAGGATGATTCAAAAGCGGTATCACAATCAGCGAGCGCAGAACGAATGAAAATACATGTAGCTTTCGGGAGCGTTAATCTATTTCTTTTTTTTTTCTTTTTTTTTTGCAATTCAAAAACGTTAGAAGATCGATACACTGTTTCGTTAGTATCCACAACGAAGGATGACTCGAAATCAATCTTCGTAATAGCAAAGCATACTTGCTAAAGTTGCGTGTATATTCACTTCGAATCTAAACCGTAATCGTGACGGCACAAATCAGATTTCGCGACGCCATTTTTGGATCGCCCTGTGCACATATGTAATCATAAACCGCGCATAGTGGCATTAAATAGAAACAAAGAGTATTCCTAAGAGATGCGATAAATGTTCTGCGCCAAAATTAATCTAAACGTCGCTGGGACGTACTCGAGGAAAAGAATAATAATTAAAACGCACCTATATCAACGTACATTCCGTCTCACGTGAAGATACCGACGCGTTCAATCGTTTCGTTTGCTCGAACGGAATTTGCTGCAATAGAGAAGCAACTGGCAGGGCATTCTCGAGGCGGTCGAGGCTAAATATACCTCTAATCTTAGACACACACATACACACACACACACACACACAAAAGAAGACAGAAAACAGAAAATAAAATATCGAAAAGGTGCTTCGACGCGTCGCGAAAGATAATGGCGGCGCGTCATCGGACTCGCGAAAATCGTGCAAGTGCCACAACCTCATTAAAAGTAACAAATTTTTCATTCCTTACAACTGACGACAAAACACTGATTTATTCGAAAGCTTCGTTTCCAAATACTCCTCTAGTTACTGAATTATTTATCGCGAGTCGACTCGTTCGGTACATCGTCGAAATTACGAAATTAAATATTTCTCAAACCGCCAGGTATTTTACAATCGGCCGTCACGAAACATCGCGTTCTTTTTTTACAGATCTGTGACGTCTCCAAACAATTGTTCGCCAAGTTACACCGTGGCACACGATTTTCTCGAGTCGCTCGGCTCGCCAATGTAAATCGTAGTGATAAAAATCGTTAAAAATGAAATTATATATATTATGTAAAAAATATATAAAATACGTAAAATACGTGAGAAACGATCACGCACGAGGGGCTGTGTTGGATTTCACGTGGAGGAACGAAAGATGCCTGCCTAGAGCGAGAGCAAACAAACGTGTATCGACGTCTCGTGTTCGAATAATTGCGCTGCCTTTCCCGATAAAAATAAATTTAACAAAAAAGCACACGCACACACACACACACACACACACGTACACGCGCATACAGGCCGTTTTTAAACATGCGGGGCCTTTTTTGAGAGTCTTCGCGAATCTTCGCGCCAATGGAAATCAAAAATCCACTTGCCATTTCGCGATCTGGGGCTTCCTACATTTCGATAACGAACCCTCCTGTCGCAAAATGTTAAAGGGCTCCTCGATTTGTATCGATGCAAAGACTTGAACCACGAAAATGCTCCCACATATTTGGAAACAGTCTGTATACACACACGCACACACAAACAAACAAACATAAAGAGCAAAAAGAAGTAGAGAGACGAAAGAGTCTTAAGGAACATTTTGCGCGTATTCTACGCGACTCCACGTATTAAATACTCGCGAGCGAATCTTATCTTTATCACTTTAAAGCGACCCGAACGGAACCGAGGCGCGAACACGCGCACGATTCCCCGTCGAATCGATCGCGATCGAAACGATCTCCGTCGGCGTTAAGCGAGTAATTAAACAGAATTATATCGTCGCAGCCCGCATAAATATTATTCCGAACTAATCGACTCGACCCGCCGCCTGATTTATAAAAACCAAAGAAATATAAATAAAAATGAATGGTCGATGTTCGCCAGCGTTATCGTTTTATCCCAATTTTAAATGTTTACTGTATGATAAAATTGTAATATAGTCGTTGGGCAAATAAAGCTCGTTTTTCGATATAAGTATCACATATATGCACGTTGCAGAACCTCGCACGACGTATCCTCGATAAACAGCCGATCGATGTGGAATTTTTTTTTTTATAATAAACATCAACATGGAACTATACTTTAAACTTCGTTTCGTTTCGCCAGAGACGGCCAGGTCTGGTCGATATCAATTTAGCTAATGAACACACTCTTCTCAGGGTTAATAAATATCATACATTTTCTTTAAATTTTCATGAGTCCCCATATCGCCACAATCTGAATCTAACAACGGAAATTGTGAACTCACGATCTACCAGCAGAACACTCCATGGTGCTTTAAGACCAACACTCCTGGCCAAGCGTGAGCGAGCAGAGTACACGATATCCAACCTAATTCAAACTTGGAGCTTTACTACTCAACTAGTACAGAGTTTCATAACAATTTCATTTGGTAAGAAGTATCTTTCAAAAGTGCGTGAAAAAGTTTCAAATTAAGTACAAGAATGGGAGAAGACAACCAATCGAAACCAGAACGAACCCTACGCCCCATAATGTTCGTCTCCTGGCTCCTGGGCGTGGGCGTCGCAAGGCCCAAAAAGTGTCCTAAAGCGTTCACTATGATCCTCCACGCACTCCATTTCGGCGTGTGCACGGTGAGCGTTGCATTCGCCGCGATAGACTTCGCAGACTTCCACGAGGTGTTCTCGAGCGATCTATTCGAGATCATGTACTGCGTGAACGAGGTAATCCGCCACGTTTCGGCGTATTACTATGTCTGCCACGTGATACAGCACTACGACAAGTGGCCTGCATTGATGAAGATGATGGAATCGTTGGATCAACACATCGGTACAGAGGTACCGGTCAATGAAAAAGCCGTCAAGATCAAGCAGATCCTGGCTGTTCTGACAGTCTGTTTGCTAGGTAGGAGTAAACTCTGACTAAAGCTCGAAGTAAAAATTCCTGGAGTCATCAAAGTAACTTCTTTTAACACGTCGAGTGCCAGGCTAATAATCGTGAAAATTCCTATTCAACTAAAATTGCGTTTCTATGCAATTAGAAACGACATAATTTAACATCTGCGGAAGTACTTATTTTTACGATCCCTTTAGAATTTACTAATTTTATCAAAATTAATTTCTTTTCAACATCTCACTTTCAGAATTAATTTATTTATTCCTAAGTGTAAATCCTTGTCACCCATACGTGGCGATCAACGTGTTAATTGTTCCTGATTTTTATTGCTGTGTCGTCAGGTCCTGTATCGCTGACAGCGCACGTTGTCTACTACTACTTCACAGCACCCGATCAGATATACGCGTCCGATTTGCTCCTTTATTACACGATTGCGCAGACTTTGGCGAACAGTTTCGTGTTCGATATCATCGTATACATGATCTGCCAGCGATTCAGGTCGATCAACGCGACGATCGAGCGAATGGATGAGAAATTAGGCGCTCCTTGGACTGCCTCGAAGATTCGGAGGATCAGAAAACTCCACTCTGGCACGTAGACGAATTTATTCGTGGACTCGTCGAGTTGCGCTTTCGATTTATTTCAAAGACTATCTCTTTGCAGAAGCATGCTCCGTGGTAGCGACGGTTAACGAAATCTACGGTATAGATCTCCTGTTGTGTTCGACGAACGCGTTCGTAACGGTAGTCGCGAAGCTCTTCAGGATCTACATGAGCGCGAAGGAACAGCAAAGTGGGTTCATTTTCTTGAACAATGTCATCTGGTTGATCTACGGTCTCCAATTCGTTGTGATGTGTTGGGTGTGCACGTTGACACATCGAGAAATAAATAAAATTGGCCTCTGCATAGAGGAGTTCGCGTTGAATACACAACACTCGTCCAAGTTTAATAGATTGGCACCCTTCAGGAGCTTTCGACAAAAGGAACCGACATGGTTGCAGGTGTACGATGATCGATCCGACCTGTATCGATACGCGGTGAATCTAAACGGTTTTGGAATGGAGAGCCTTCCGAGAACGGACTTCGATCGCGACTGCGTTCGAAGCGAGACCAACGACTTTATTTTACAGTTGCAAGTATGTCGCGTTAAATTCACCGCCTGCGATTTTTTCGAAATGGACAATTCCTTACTGACGAGGGTAAGTATAATTTAAATATTAATCGTAATTTCTACTTGTGGGGAATGTTGATTTCGCGACACTGTTTTCAGTTTATCAGCGTTATCACCACGTACCTGATCATTCTTGTACAGTTCTACGAAACCAAGGAGCACAAAAATCGTTGAAGTCTCAGTGTTAAATTATTGGCGAGTATTCTAAAGTAAAACGTATTCATCGTCGAATTTTAGTCTTTAAAATACAAATTTGGAAATATGAATCTAATTGTTAGTTATTAAATAGTAACTGTTAATATAGGTATTAGTAAGTGCCTCTGGCAACAGGCAACCAGCTCCGACTCGCGCGCGCAATGAGTTGCCTGTCGCCAGGGACACTAAGAAACAACCGAATGGACCAACACGCGTATGATCGTCTAACAATAAGGATCGACAAGTGTTGGAAACCATACGAAATTATCAATCACAATATTTTTATAACAAATGAAATATTCTTTATTTAAATACTTTCTCACAAAAAAGTTCCAATCTCTGGCATATTACAATATTTGTTCATGTAATTTCAGTGATATTTTAACAATCGGTGAAAGTCACGAATATCCCTGAGATCTCACAAAATGTATTGGTGTAAAAAAAAAAAGTTACAGGAATCTATGTGAATAATGTTATATGACGTTAAATAAATAACGTGGAATATGAAAATCTTTGGTGCTTTGGATGATGAACGACTGCTTTAATCTACTTCTTCGATCGTTGGGCCCCCAGCGCCGCCACCTGGAGCACCACCTGGTGCACCACCTGGGAATCCGCCGGGTACACCACCTGGGAATCCGCCTGGTGCGCCACCACCGCCGCTCTGGTAAAGTTTGGTGATAACAGGTTTGCAGACAGATTCCAATTCCTTTTGCTTGTCGGAGAACTCGTCCTTTTCTGCCAACTGATTCGCGTCCAACCAGGCGATGACTTCGTTGCATTTGTCGAGGACCTTCTGTTTCTCGGACGCGTCGATTTTATCCTTGATCTTCTCGTCCTCCATCGTACTCTTCATGCTGAAGCAGTAGGACTCCAAAGCGTTCTTTGCGGAAATCCTGTCGCGTTGTTGTTCGTCCTCGTTATGATATCTTTCTGCCTCGTTCACCATCCTCTCGATATCCTCCTTGGACAGTCGACCTTTGTCGTTGGTGATCGTGATCCTGTTCTCCTTTCCAGTTGACTTCTCAATCGCAGAAACGTTCAGGATACCTGAAATCGTTACGCAGGGTGTTAGTAAACATTGAACAATACGTTCGAAACAATGAAATGAGTAAATAAAACAAAAGTTTGCTTTGCTGTATACATACCATTAGCATCAATGTCGAATGTAACTTCGATCTGAGGCACACCTCTAGGGGCAGGCGGTATACCGGACAGCTCGAACTTGCCGAGAATGTTGTTGTCTTTAGTCATAGCTCTCTCTCCTTCGTATACTTGAATGAGTACGCCTGGTTGGTTATCCGAGTACGTGGTAAAGGTCTGAGTTTGCTTGGTCGGTATTGTGGTGTTCCTCTTGATCAAGGTGGTCATGACGCCACCGGCTGTTTCTATACCCAGAGACAATGGTGTTACGTCCAATAGCAGAAGATCTTGAACAGCTTCGGACTTGTCTCCGTGAAGGATTGCTGCCTGCACAGCGGCACCGTAAGCAACAGCCTCATCGGGGTTGATGGATTTGTTTAGTTCTTTGCCATTGAAGAAATCTTGAAGTAGTTTCTGAATCTTCGGTATTCTTGTGGATCCACCGACCAGAACGATACTGTGAATTTGACCTTTATCCATCTTGGCGTCTCTCAAAGACTTCTCAACCGGGTCCAATGTACTTCTGAACAGATCCGCGCATAGTTCTTCGAACCTGGCCCTCGTGATCGATGTGTAGAAGTCGATACCCTCGAACAGAGAGTCGATCTCGATGCTAGCCTGCGTCGACGAGCTCAGAGTTCTCTTCGCCCTCTCACAGGCAGTTCTCAAACGCCTAAGGGCTCTCTTGTTCGAGCTCAGATCTTTCTTGTATTTTCTCTTGAACTCCTGAACGAAGTGGTTCACCATGCGATTGTCGAAGTCCTCTCCACCCAGATGAGTGTCGCCAGCTGTCGATTTTACCTCGAAAATGCCATCCTCGATAGTCAAGACAGACACGTCAAACGTGCCACCGCCCAGATCGAATATGAGAACGTTCTTTTCGCCTGCAGCCTTCTTATCGAGACCGTAGGCGATCGCAGCTGCGGTCGGTTCGTTTATTATTCGTAAAACGTTTAAGCCAGCTATCGCTCCCGCGTCCTTCGTGGCCTGTCTCTGTGAGTCGTTGAAGTACGCTGGGACGGTGATCACTGCGTCCGTGATGTTCTTTCCCAAAAATGCTTCTGCCGTTTCCTTCATCTTCGTCAGAACCATTGACGACACTTCTTCTGGGAAAAAGGTCTTAGTCTCCCCCTTGTACATAACTTCGATCTTCGGTTTTCCACCGTCGCTCACTACCGTGAACGGCCAGTGTTTCATGTCGCTCTGTACCGTTGCATCTTCGAAACGACGACCGATCAACCTTTTGGCGTCTGTGCGATTAAGAATTAAATATCAGTAAACATGTTAAAGGGGATAAGAAAAATTCAGTAACAGGAAGAATAATGAACGGTGAAAGGAAAATTTAGGTGTATAATTATCTGGTCTTCGTGTTAGGATTTTCAGCGCTGCTTCATCTTCGCTTCGAAAAGCCCTTCTTTTATACGTTTTTGATATTATGTCATTTTACTGTTGTCACGGTACAAGATCAAATCACGAATATACAAATTACGAATGTATTACGTAAGAATGAAACAGCTCGAGAAATTTCGGGAACGATCAGGATTCAAACTGTGTTTTAATTCACTTACCAAAGATGGTGTTGTTCGGATTCATGGCGACCTGATTTTTGGCCGCATCGCCGATCAGCCTTTCGGTGTCCGTGAAGGCGACGTAACTCGGCGTCGTTCGATTTCCTTGATCGTTGGCAATGATCTCAACTTTGCCATGTTGGAAGACACCCACGCAGGAGTACGTGGTGCCCAAATCAATTCCAATTGCTGGAGCTTTAGCCATGTTTTATAGCTGTAAGCAAAAATAGAATGAGTCAGACAACGCGTTGGCGACGAATGGGTAACGCGTCCTTGCTTTGTCGGTGCCAAAACAAAAAATCGTCGACTCGTGTTCCAATTTACAGAATTCAACGAGAGAATCTATCGAAATGGTCTAATAATAATATGTAGCAATACGTAACACTAATCTAGGATGTGTAAAGTTACAAACATGGCTGGAAGAACTCAAACGTATTAATTACGTTTAACATTTTCGTTATAAGCCCCGCTGAATCGACGATAATAGAACATGAATCATCATGCCCGAAAACCAAAGATAAACCGAAAACGAAACTCTATGAAATAATTTACAATCTTTAAAACAATCGAACTAGGGCGAAACTTAACGGAAATTCATTGATGACGAAGCAACTTCATTGGTAACGAGGCAACTTCACGGTGATGTCTCTAAACGTTAACCTTTGATATCTCGAGCACTTCGGAATACGAAGAAGATTCACTAATCAGAAATATACGAGCTTCCAAAATGTAATTAGGTAACTCACCTTTTGTTTCGTTCGTTTGTTGTATCTCTCGATAAACGTCGCAGATATACTGCACTTGAGCACTGTTCAACAATGTTCACAAGTCGCTTGCTAAATCGTATCTGACTGCGCCACGCGTCGCGTCCCTTTTAATACACCGAATCTCACGCTTCGAGAAGCTTCTGCAGCGACCGTTCGCGGCAACTTCATGATTCAACAGCGCGCTCCCATTGGCTCGAAAGTCTCGAAGCGTCGAGAGAAGGACAGACGTATCGAAACAAGGAGCAATCAATACGAACGCGAAAGAGGAAGAGAGAGAATATTAGCGACGTGAGAAACTACACGAAGGTGCTGGAAGATTTCGGTTATAATTAGGACTCTAAATCTTGTTTATCCGAAAACTGACTTGCCAAAATTATGCACATGAATGGCATTGGAGATACTAACAACTATAAATGATTTTTTTTAGTACTTGGTATTTAATTTAATCATTTATAGTTGACTGACTTGCCAAAATTATGCACATGAATGGCATTGGAGATGTGCTAACAACTATAAATGATTAAATTAAATACCAAGTACTAAAAAGACTTTTTAGTCTAAATTACGATGCAAAATACAAAATGATTTCAAAGAATGTGCCAGACTCTGAGAATGAATAACGTATTTTTTGGGAGTGCTCGGGTCTTCTAGAAGAATCGTAAAAAAAAATATTACGCAATAACATAACATTTTCTGACGAGAATCTGTTGTTTTCAATACAAATGTATGATAGATTAGATTACATTCATTTATTTAATAAATGAAGTCATTAATCTCGTTGAGTGATCAATTCACAATTGGCGAAAAATGCTTTAGCTAACTCTTAAATACGATTCTCGCAAATTCAAGATAGTTCGATGATCGTTTAAAAATAACTGTCCATAAATATACCATGCTTGTACAGCAACTTATGTTACATCTTATTTCAAATGCGTATTCTAATTTAAGAACAACCGAATTTGTATTGGTGAATTAATGTAATTGTGTTTATAGGTGCTATTACATCACGATCGATACATTTACCGTTACTAAACTTATTAATATATGAATACGTATACTAACCGAAAAGAATATTTAACATAATCAGAATGTTGGCTAAGGAGATTATCTATAATTCGAACAATGACTTGATAATGCAGGTACTTTCTCGAATCTTCTCTCTCCGTGTGGAACTTTCCTTCAATGACAGTATCAACGAAGCAAGGATAATACTGCAATTATGGTCAAAACCGTAGACTTCGAACAAATCTGAAATTTGTCAATTTGTTTGTCTCGTTTCCTATTTTGAACATTTTCTAAAGAAACGCGACAAACGTATTCGTAAACTTTAGATTTCGAAGCCTAGGGTCTTGTCCATTGCTAGGACCCCATAAATTCGAGAAAGTTCGCCATCATTCCTTTTTTCGATGTTGGCATTCTTTATTAGCTGGACGAATTTGGCGGGAAGACTGCAATGAAAACACAGAAAAACTTCCACAATACAATGCACAACTTCTGTTCCAAATGCAAAATCCGTATTCTTTGGAACATAAGTGCTTATTTTCATTTATTTTACATGAAATTGAATTACCTAGCATCGTAAATATGCCCATGGCAGTAACTGCGACATATTTACGTATGTACTTATTTACATCCATTATCTCTTACGTACATTTTCTCGAAAATTCAATAAAAATCTAGAAACATCATCGAATATGAACGCTCCAGGAAAAATTAAGAAATTAGATAGCACCGTGGTGAATCGAATTGCAGCTGGCGAAGTAATTCAAAGGCCAGCAAATGCATTAAAAGAATTAATCGAGAACAGGTGAGCTGTTTGAAACATCGTAAACATTGCGTTTCTTTTACGCTGCGAATTTAATCTCGAACGTTTCAGTCTTGATGCAAAAGCAACTAATATCCAGATTATCGCTAAAGAGGGAGGATTAAAACTATTGCAGGTACATTTTTTATTAATTCGAGTGTATAAGTAAATGTAATAAATTTAGTACTTGATATTGTTCTCAGATCCAGGACAATGGTACAGGGATCAGGAAGGATGACATGGAAATTGTTTGCGAACGATTTACCACAAGCAAATTACAAACATTTGAGGATCTACAAACGATATCAACTTTTGGATTTCGTGGTGAAGCCTTATCAAGCATCAGTCACGTAGCACTTTTGACTATCACAACAAAAACAGCTGATGAAAAATGTGCATACAAGTAGGTAAATTATAGTTAGAAGGAAAATAATAAAATGTAAATAATTGTCTTTTAAAAATCTCCTTTATTTGCATTAGAGCATCATACATTGACAGTAAACTAAAAGAACCTCCTAAAGCATGTGCTGGAAATCAAGGTACTACTATAATGATCGAGAATTTATTTTACAATGTTGCAACACGAAGAAAGGCCTTGTCAAATGTACCAGAGGAATTCAACAAAATTACAGATGTAGTCACAAAATATGCAGTACATAACCCAACTGTAGGATTTGTATTGAAAAAACATGGAGAAATAACACCTCAAGTATTTCAATCTTCATAAACTGATATTATACTATCATTCTACTGTAATAACATTTTTTTTTTAATCACTTAGGTGCGTACACCACATAATTCTACAAAAATGAATAATGCAAGAATACTTTATGGCAATCCTGTCTCCCGTGAATTATTGGAAGTGGAACTTACAGATGATGCCTATAAATTTAAGATGCATGCCTTAATAACAAATCCCAATTACACGAATAAAAGAATGATATTTCTTTTATTTATTAATAATCGATTGGTAGAATCTTCTTGTAAGTACAAAATGTTAGAACAAGTTTCATTCTCTCAGGTTCGTTCTAGAACATTCTGGACATATCTTAAAAGAGGTCTAGAATATTCTTGAGTTGTGTAGAAAATTCTGGAAATTGTAGAAATTTCCCGAATGTCCTCACGTCCTGTATCTTGTTCCAGCAATTCGTAAAATGTTAGAAGAGCTTTATACTTTTTATCTTCCAAAAAAGACCCATCCATGGTGCTACATATCATTGGAAATTGATCCACGAAATGTTGATGTCAATGTACACCCAACAAAACACGAAGTGAAATTTCTTCACGAAAATTCAATCATTGAAAGAATGAAGTTTGCCCTGGATGACAAATTGTCTGGAAACAGTGCTTCTAGAACATTTTATGTACAAGCACGTTTACCTAAGGCAGATATTACTAAAGAAGTTCTAAAAGAAGTTCTACCAGAATATGAGAAGGACAGCAGCGATAAAACGAAAAAGGTGCGACCTCAAGATATGATCAGAACTGATGCATCTGATCAGAAATTGGACAAATTTAACTTCACTATTCAGACACCAATAAAACGTACTAGAGACGAAAGTAATGCCGAATCCGATAAACGTATAAATACTTCCGTATCCAACGAATCGAAATTAAATGAAGTAGATACCGATAAAAGAGATCACGCTAATGATATCTGTGATGAACAAAAAGTAGATGAATCAAACTTTGATGTAGCAAAAGTACAAAAAACAAGTACGCCATGGAGTAGTATTGTAAATGATATCAGTCCTGCTACATCATCAAAAGTAATAGTACCTGATACTTGTGATATAGTTACACTTGCTGAACATGACAAAGAGAATAAGACTGAATTATCGGTTGTACAAGAATATTTTCAAATTTCACTTAGCGAATTTGAAGAAAGTACAATGGATGATTTTACAGAAGAAAAATGTATCGACACTGTCGCCGAAAAAGCACGGAAACAAGTGCATCAATATTTTGGAAGTAAGAGTACCGCGATAGAAAAAGAGCCTGCCGAAAAAAGTAGTCCTCCTAAGGAAGAAACAAAAGTTAATGATAAGAATGATAAAAATAATAAGTCGAATGATGATACAACTAATGTACCTATATCGACAGACACCAATGACAATAAAAACGATAACGATGACAGTAAAGAATTTAAATCCTACTCAATAAACAATTTTAGGAGAGAAGTAAAATTAACAAGTGTTTTAAGATTACGTAAAGAGGTAGAAGACGAGTGCCATGAAGGGTTGAAAGAAATTTTATCAAATCTAACTTTTGTCGGCTGTATAGATCAATCTTCTGCTCTTATTCAGAGTGGAGTTAATTTATATCTTTGCAATACTACGAAATTGGCGTAAGACTATTCGAAAATATTCATAAAATATTAATAATGCGTACGAATAATTAAGTTGTATTTTGTTCATTTAGGGAAGAGCTGTTTTACGAAATTATGCTTTATGATTTTGCCAACTATGGTGTCATCAAATTTTCAGTATGAACAAATTTTAATATTTACAATAGACAAAATTATTGTCATTATATTCAAATTTATACTAATTTTTAGGAGCCAATCCCTTTAAATGATTTAGCCATGTTAGGATTAGACACAGAGGAAGCTATGTGGACAGAAGAAGATGGAGATAAAGGGGAATTAGCATCAAGTGCTGCAGAATTATTATTAGAAAAGGCAGACATGTTGAAGGAATATTTTTCTATTGTTATAGATAAGAAGGGAAAATTAAACTCTTTACCAGTATTATTAGGTGAGTAGTATTTTAGCGAACCACTAGTATTTAAACTATAATTAAAAACAATTTTTTTTCCCAGAAAAATATTTTCCATGTGAAGCTGGTCTTCCTCTATATATACTACGTTTAGCTACCGAGGTTAAATGGTCATCAGAAAAACCATGTTTTCAAAATATTTGCAGAGAAACTGCAAAATATTATAGTCAAATGAATCCTACACATAATACTCATGACTGGAAGTATATTACAGAACATGTTTTATATTCTGCAATTAAAGAAAGTTTACTTCCCCCTAAGCATTTTAGTCACGACTCAACGATATTACAAATAGCCAGCTTGCCTGATTTGTACAAAGTTTTTGAAAGGTGTTAGATATATTTGATAAGTAGATTTTTATCGAAATTGAGTGAAATGAACTTATTATATATTCATACTAGTAGGCCTGTAAGATGGTGGTTCCCATTAAATTATTATTTTGAATCCTTTATTTATTTAACGATCATATTTTAAATTTCCTAACTGAACTTATATATTACTTTGTTACGTTTTCATATTAAAATATAATAGATACAAAAGACAGTATAATAAAAGGAATGACTTGCTTAAATATATATATATGTCTATTTGCAATGATCAAAGAAACATCGAAGTTCAAATATATGTTACATTTTTTTAACATGGACTAATAACTAACGTTCGTCGAGAAGAAATTTACTTCTCATAAAATTTATGTACTTTGCTCATTTCCAATATTAATTTTTCATTCAGACTGTGTATCCGTTTTACATTTAAATTTCAATTGTAATATTGTAGCAGAGACTTTATTCTGTGATTCTTTAAATCCCTGAATATAAAACCATATAAATTATCCTTTAGCAACACCAACTAATGCAGGTCTTACTACTCGTTCATGTAATTTATAGCCCAGTTTCGATACAACTACTACTGTCCCTGGTTCTTTGCCTTCAACTTCCTATATAAAAATATATTGTTAATACTGATCATACAACACAATTACAAACTAAAACTTATGTAAAGAGAGTATATTATTTCTACCTGTTGAAATAATGCTTCATGTTGATTGGGATCAAATTTCTCATTTAATGGATTCAATGAAATTAAACCATGCTTTTTAAATACCTGTAAACAGATATTGAATGATACAAATCTCATTATATAGTATATTTGAATATAATTAAATCTCAATTTTGTATTTACTTTATGCAACTGTGCTTCTGTCATCCTTAAACCCTCGTATAAAGTCTTTAAGTGTGGGTTTTTTTCTGTGAGTTCATCTTTCGGTACACTTTCTGTAGCTTTGCCTAAAATATCTGCTACTTCCAAGAGATCTTTACAGAAACCTTGAATACCGAACAATTTTGCATCTTCGATTTGCTTCATCAATCTAACTCTAAGATTTTCGCCATCGGCAAGTGCCCTTTTATATTTGCCATCCAACTCAGTGTTGTGGGTTCTAAGTTCTGTTAACTCTTTGTTAAGCAGTTCAAGATCTGCCTTCAATTTTTTTTCATTTTCTGTGAGCTCTGGAACCGCAGATTCCGCGTCACCACTTTCCGACTTCTTTTCTTCTGTAATTGTACTGTATTCTTGTCGTTGCCGAGAAATGTACGATGGCTGAGATAACCTATAAAACGGTTACAAGAAATATTTCGAACGCATCATCTTTGGAAAATAAACAAAACGAATAAAAGAAAGTACAATCATTTCTATGAAATACACGATAGTTTCATTGGGAAAATTGACACGACAATACAATTACGTAGCAAATGTGCATTACTCAACAACCTAACCTTTAGTTATACGTTGCAAAATGCACGCGATAAATGCACGCATTCCGGCATCGTACATTTAAACATGAAATCTTACCTAAGTAAAATATTTTTATTTATATTGTGCAAACTATCGATCGTGACACGAGTAAATCTCACTGCAACCGGTATTACGATCGATGCCATAGCCGCTTTATAATTTTACGAAAAAATTAAACGGTAAATGATGAAACTACCGCGATCCTCGTGCTGTCCCAGTGGTTCTCAAATGCTTCTTCTTATGTCGCAATAATCACGACTATATACGTTTGTTCAACGTGAAATAAACTCAAATAAACAAAACCACGTGATCATAACGGAAGTTCATTAATTTACAGGGTCTCTGCTAACGAATTTATCATAGCTTGTTGTTAATTTGACTTCTATCGTGTACATTATGACTCGCAATGAAATATCGCAAGTAAACCACGTGTTTTTGTTTACCAGACTTTCTTCTCGCCGAGTATAGAAACACATAGATAAAAATAATATAAAACTATATGACTTCTCCACACATTACGTAAACATGTTACAATATTTAAAATTTTATTTCATAGTTATAAGTTGTTATAAGACTGAAAATTAAACATATATTCATTAACAATTATCACGATCGAATCATGATATTCTCATTGTTTTATTGGAATGAAGTGATACAATACAATGAAATCTGTTCGCGATCATAAATTCTATGATTTCTATACGCTTTTTTAATACCTGCGCAATTTTTATTTACAAAAACTGAAATTGTCACTCAACGTGTTAAAACAAACAACACCGTAAACAGCGAGACCATACCCTTCATTAAAAAAGAAAAAAATTAATTTTGTAGTGTGATAACGACTTCACGAACTACTTACACGATTTTAAATCTAAAACAAGCTAGAAAATACACTGGTGATTTTTTTAACGCATGCGATGATCTAGATCAGACATCGTAAAACAATCTTTTACTTGTATAACATTCTGTTACATTCTCGTAAAGATAACTTGTAATGCTGCAAATTGTTACTTTGCAAGAAAAGTGGATTGCAATGTTTTATTATGCTAAATATTTATAAACAAGATATTGATTTTTCTTCGAAGCTATCGTATGTTGTCTTTTCAAAATATCTTTCATATTACAAGTCATGGTATTATTACCATTTCTTTATATTTGCTTCTTTCATTAATGCAAAATTATTAACGGTGCAACTATGCTGATATGATAAAGAAAATGAAAATACTAGTTGTTTGCACATTACAATCATAATAAATATAACGCTCTTAGTTGTACGTACTTGGAAAAAGTGAAACACGTAACCCCGTATATCGGTAGTATTTGTTTTCAAGAAAAAACATCAAATAGATACAATTTGTTTTGAAGGTTCTGTGAAGTCATCGCAACTTCGGTTATCCATGGTCGAGTACTGTATGCATCTGGTCTAGCATACTTGTTCAACATTTAATACAAAAATTAATCTATCTTTATATAGTATTATATTCCAAGTGTGCAAACGTCAATCAACAAATTCTACTGATAAAATTACTTAATCACTAAATTTTTTTTCTTTAATGTACATAAATAAATCATTTATCAATCAACTATACCTTCCGCGTGCCTCTAGCAGATTAAATATCAATTTTTGTTTCTTTTGTGTTAGGATAGGACGAGGTCTACAAATGTTTTTAAGAAATTTGTCGGCACACGAGCCTAAAAAAAATGTACAAGACTTTAAAACCTGTACGAAATTATGAATGTTCATTAAAATTTGTCTTTTTTTTTTTACATATCGAAGAGAAGGTACAGAGTAGATTACTACCCCTTCAGTTGTGTCTCAAAACATTTACTGTTTTGATTTTGTGTTTGAAAGAACTGTGTGTCAGATATAACGCCGGAAAAAACAAACTGACCACGCGTTATCAACCGTTCGACTCCATTTTTGAAAATATCTAAAATATTTAGAGGTTAGAATCCTTCTTGATACTGTTTCGAGTCTAGCTTCGCTTGGAGTACTTCCAATTGTCTTTTAGCTTCGCACTGTGGAAAGTTTTGTAGATCGTAATATTGCGGTGCTATTTTTAGCAACCAATCAGCTGTAAAAAGAAATTAATTGGTTAAACAGTACACCCATACCATTTTTGTATTATTTTTATACGTTATAACTTACGTTTGATATCAGTAACTGTTCTGATATAGTTTTTGGTCGTAAGCACGAACTCGTTATAAATTACCCATTCTGGTTTATGATCCAAACAACTACTCGGGTGAAGCTGTACAATTTGATTATCTTTAATGGTCAAATAATGACCAGTTCTCTCTAAATGAGCAACCTGTGTGCAAAGCAGAAAAAAGAATAAATAGTAAGAATAAATGACACGCAAATATCAACGTTTACTATATAATTACCTGCATAAAGAAACCGTTCACGAGCGCTTTTCTGATATTAATATAATAATCTTTTGATGTGAAGTCCGTCGAAGTGCGTTTCAAACAAAATCTGTCCATTATTCTGCTTAGCTGTTGTCTGACATTGTCGCCACTCTTCAGAGATCGATAATTAACGAAGTTATCGTAACACCACTGTGGATCCTCGAAGTCTGTCGACAAGAAAGGCATCGAAGTTGCAATGAAACGATGAAGCGTATAATTTAACAGAAACATTCCGGAAAAATCATATAAATATACTTACTTTGTTTGAAAGCATGGTACACGTTCAGTAGCGTCAAATGATCTCCATCGATGTGTGCAAATCGCATTTTAGCGTCATCTGCGGCCTTCTTTGATTCATTTGGCCTCACAAAACACTGCGGGACTAATACAATATCAATCATCAATATAAAACCATATTACCTTACCACGATTCTGACTTTATCTTAACAACTTTTAATTTTTATTTCATTATTGTTATCTTGTTTTTAAAAAGAGAAATATCAAACAGAGACGAATCTAATATCGTTTCACGGGAAGATAAAGTGTTCTTCCTAATACTTTACCTGAAAGCATAGCAGTAATGCTAAGTATCTCGTTACTGCAGTTGTGATTGCAAGATGCGATTAACATCTTCGCCAATTGAGGATCTAACGGAAATTCAGCCATCACAGCCCCCAAATCTGTTAAATTCCCGTCATCGTCTAACGCGGCCAAATAGTTAAGCAACTCCAGTGCTCTCATAAGAGTTTCTGGTGCTGGAGGATCCATAAAGTCAAAATGAACCTATAGAAAATTAGTAAGAAAGTAATGTGTTAATATATTTAGCATACAGTACTGAAAGACTTTTAATTAAATATTTGGCATACCAAGTCATCGATACCAAGTTTTTTCAGTTGTAACACAACACTTCCGAGGTTTGATCGCAATATTTCGGGATAAGTGTTTTCTTGCATTTCATTTTTATATGCTTTTTCCGTGTACAATCTGAAACATTTACCAGGTCTTGTACGACCAGCTCTACCAGCTCTTTGTTGGGCAGAAGCTTTGCTGATGGGTGATACAAGAAGAGATTCTACGCGAATTCTGGGATTATACACCTATTAAAAAATACAATAAAATTTACCAATCATGTATGAATATATAATACAAGAAGAAATCGAAGCGAATTCTAACCTTTTGTTTTGCAAATCCAGGATCTATTACAAATACGACACCATCGATAGTTAACGATGTCTCCGCGATGTTGGTTGAAACTACTACTTTTCTACCAATAGCACCATTAGGCTTTGTAGGTGGTGCTGGTTCGAAGATTCTTTGTTGAAGATTCGGGGGCAGTGTGGAATATAGTGGTATGCATTTAAGTTCACCTACTTCTGGACCTAAATTGTCCATTTCTCTTTTGATTCTCTTACAAGCTTCTTCGATCTCTTCTTGACCAGTTAAGAATAAAAGTAGATCTCCCACTATGTCTTCACACATGTGTATTTGAATAACTGTTCTGATAGCAGCTTCTAAATAATCTCTTTCAGGTTCAGGTGTATAATAAATCTCAACAGGATGCGTTCTGCCAGGTACATTCATTAAAGGAGCATTATCAAAATACTGTTGAAATTTTCCAGCATCCAAGGTCGCACTCATAATCACAAGTTTCAAATCTGGTCTCTGTTTAATCACTTCTTTCAACACACCCATAAGTAAATCGGTGGCTAAAGTCCTTTCGTGAGCTTCATCTAGCAATATTACTTGATATGCATCAAGCATAGGGTCAGACATGCCTTCACGAAGAAGCATACCATCGGTCATATACTTTAATACAGTTTTTGGAGAACTGCAGTCTTCAAATCGGATACTGTATCCTACTTCTTGACCTGTTCAACAGCATTGTAATTTAGCAACATATAAACTCTGTATAAGTGTTATTAGGTAAATTGTATATGATATATAAATTACCTAGTGCAACATCCATTTCTTCTGAAACTCTCTGTGCTACAGACATAGCTGCTACTCTTCTTGGCTGGGTACAAGCGACACCTTTGGTGCCAATACATCTTGAATATTCTACACACCATTGTGGTATCTGTGTAGTTTTACCTGACCCTGTTTCTCCAACAAGCACGATACATTGATGTTGAGCCAATAACCTCATGAAGTCAGCACGATATTCGAATACAGGTAAGGTGATTCTCTTTTTGTAAAATTCATGGTATCGTGGCGTGTAAGGCAGGCTAGTGTAAGGATTAAGTTGAACTTGATTATTTGGTGCTGTCGAGGGTGTAGTCGTGCTGTTAGATGTTGAGCCAACACTGTCAAAAAATAAACAAACCAATATTTAACCAACTTTACGTATTATTTAAACGTTACAAACGCTTTAACAACGAAGGTTGAGAACACTTGATTGGTTAGGAAAACCAATTTAGATAGAAAACAAATGATATTTAAATTTCCACCAAAACATCTGTGTGTATTCACAACCGATCATAAACGTGTACACACGACCTCCTTTCGGAAATGTTGTAAAATTATAAAACAATATTTCCCAATATTTCATATTTATGATATCCAATCGTTGAAGAAAAAATTCAGTTGAGAACCTTTACGACTGGCTGACCAAACAAGTCAACAGCAACAGAAGATGATTTACATCACAATTATCGAAACGTCGGACTTGGACAAAATTCTGTCGTTGCATTATTAATCACGATACATCGAATCCTTTCACAGGAACTGTTTTCGAGACGTAATATTCGCTCAACGAGATGTGCGGTAGGATTGAGAAAACTTGTATCAATGCACATGGCAAGATGTCTCGTTCGATTTTTGTTCAGCTTCTCGAAATTGAAAATATAGTAATGCACTCACGCTCTCCGCTTAACATACGGATCCACAACCTCGATCCTCCGTTTCGACATTATTCTTGTCCCTCCGCAGGCAAGCAAAGCAAAATCTGTTTACGAACTTGCACTGAAGGCGTCACAAAATGGCAAACTACTAACAGGCTAAAGCTTCCTGTGTATTTGTGATGGTGAAAATCAACGACAGATGGAGCGGCGAATGTCACAGGTAACTGTAGCGCAACAATGTACAAGAAATGTTTGTTTTACGCGCTAACTTGAAATCGAAATAAACAATGATAGCCATGACGCAATCTTGAGGATGAAAGGAAAGAACTAATGAATTTTTGAATAAAAAAGATATTTATTTATCATTATTACAATTAGAAAAATATAATCGAAGCAAGCCATTATAGCATTATATCCCTGATAATGTACATTGCTTCGTTATCGCATCCAAACAACAAGGTTGATCTGTCAATGTCAATGCTGTTTATCGGTTTGTGCATAGCGCTACAAAGCGATGTTACATTGACTTTACCATTTGTTCCTATCATATTCAACCAATGAGTGTTTGAGGGATCTAATACAAAAATCGTAAATTTTCAGTAATCAATCGATATTAATTCCGAGGAGTGAACTCACCCAAACTCAGCTTCGAATGCTGAGAATTATTCCAATGCCATAATTCACCACTAGTCGAACACGTAAATAAATTTTCAGGTCTGGCAGGATGGAAAAGTATTTCGCTGACAGCCTTAGCGTGAGCGTTAAGCTGAGACATTGGATACGTATTGTGTCTCAAATCCCATACTGTTAAACTACCATCACCGCCACCGGCAACAACGATATGCCTCTGGGTTGGATGATGGGCGATGCTCGTAGCTTCGGTCTATAAATGTTTACGCTCTGTTATTACTGTACGCGATACTACAGCGATTTACTGTAAATGAACATAAATAGTCTGTACTTTTGTTTGATCAGAAAGCATGAAGGTAGTGGCAGGAATATCTTGATCACTTCTTAGATCCCAGACTTTCATGTGTCCCCTTAAATTTCCTGTGAGTATCTCGTTATGCCTCAAGAAATCAACGCAATATATAGAACAACTATCAGCTTCATCTAGAAAAGAAATGAAATATTTGTAAAATAGACTTTGCAAAAGGTAACATTTATTTAAGGGAATGTTACATCTACCTATAACTCTAACTAGTTTTTTCTGTCCGACTGTTAGAAGATTGATTCTCCCATCTGTTCCTACAGAAACTATATCATGGTCAAAGGTGGAAAGCGCAGTGCAAGATGCATAATTTGATGATCTTCAATAGAGATAAATTGATAAATAGCAATTGATGAAATACACCAAACTTGAATCTTTACAAATGAACCTTACTTAAATTTGTGTATGTGTTCCCAAGTTCTGCGATCTTTGAATTGAGAATATGGATTTTCAGGAATTGCCAATAATTTGACTGTGCCTGTAGATGTTGATGCCGCAAACAAATCTTTTGAAATAAACTGTAACAAATCATAGAATGTGTCAATGTAGAAAAACGAAGTATTACGTGAACTATAAGAATTTTTATCAAATATTAGAAACCTTTATCTCTGTAACATCTCCGAGCACAGCATAAGAGGAAACCACTGCTGGATACGATTCACCATCATCGTTCATTTGAAACGTCCAATGCGTTATTTTGCTCCACTTTTGTAAAAATAAGCGTATTTAGGTTCATATTTATAGAAAGAAAATAGGTTAAATTCGGTAGAGATAACCTTACCGGATCATCCCAACTACCAGTCAAAAAGTTGTTAGCCTCCTCAAAGTTCTCTGGTCTCCATCGTATCTTCGAGACTTTTTCAGACACGAATGTTCCTTGTACATTTTCGCTCATTTTTTAACATAAATTATCATTTAATTTCGAAGGAAAAAGGAGAAAGCCGGGACCAACGCAGGCTAACACGCGTGTTTCTAATCGCTGTAAAAATGATCGCCAAAACCTCTAAAAAATTCACGTGCTGATGTATTAATTACTGTGCAAAGAGAAAAACGAAAGTATTTATTCTAACGATGTATAATAAACGGGTATAACATGTTGCAAACAATCATGGCATGTGTTTTATTGTAGTACTAATGCTTCTATAAAGCTTCGAACGCTTTGGGGATTTTATTAGTTGCCGTAAATTAGATTTTTTTCCGAGGTTTCTAAAGAATAATATTTAACGATATAAAAACGTGTTAAAAGAAATTATTTGTATCGGTTACATAATTAAATTCAAATTTCCATCTGTAAAAAACAGTTTTATAATGTGGCGCCATCTACTAACAAAATGTCCAAATTTGTCGTGAAATAGTTTCGAAATGCTGCCGCTAGATGACGCCACCAATCAGTGTCTTTACCGACTTTGCAATATATTCGCATAATTCATTTTCTTACGTTAATGATGAATGTCTAATTATATTACAAGCATTATGATAATATGATTCAGACAAAGATATGAAAATTCAATCTTTTTTGTAAATATGTTTGAAATGAACCTTGTGCGACATCTGACGGTGAGAAAATGTTTTACTTTGTCGACAAACTTGGGTGTTTCGTTAGTAGATGGCGCTACATTATTTAAAAAAAATATATATAAGTTGTAGGCCTGCTCTGGTTTATAAACCAAAGGTTGCAAGTATAACTCATTTCATAGTGCTCTTGCCATGATGAAAAACCATGTATATGTATAAAAAAAACATTAAAATAACTCTATCGTCGATAACCAGAAATCAGTGGCGCCATCATCTGGTTCAAATATGGAACTATTTCACGACAAACTTGGTCGTTTTCCCACCGATGGCGCTGCTGGTTGTAGGTTTAAAATTTGAGCGGAAAAAATTTGAAAATAAATGCTGACTTGTATGGCTCATATCGCTTATATGTCAATGAAAAAATTAAATGTAAAAAGATTAACGTGGCAAGGAACCAATTTACGCTTCGTACGGGGCCACTGACTCGACTTTGGCCGGGTCATATGTAAATTGAGTATACTAGGAACGATTTCTATAGAGAAGTCAATCGGAAAGGGGTAGGGATTCATCACTCGTTTTATAAATCGCAAGGGCCACAGAGAATCAGTTAGGTACCGATCGCGAAATAGGTATGTATCGCGCGTATTTAAATTTTAAGCTATTCCAAACACGAAAAGAGCGTAGAGAACATTTCTCATCGTTTAGTTATTTTAATATACCATTCAAATTTCTTGTATTTTTAGAAGCATATATGCGAGAGCACGATTAAATGTATTTTTAGAAGCGACAGGAAGTATTCGAAACGTTCATATTAGAGAATCTCGGAGATTCGTTTAAGTAGAGTCGATTTTTAACAATGTTTAATCTTTTAGGTCGCGATGACATCGAACGTTTTATTGTTCTTGTACCTCAGTACGCTCTACTTAACTTGGTGTGATGCAAGCGATCCCAGCGTGCCTAAACTGTGTAAGTATCACCATGACACTATTTTTTCAGTCTTACTCCCTGCAATTGCGAACGTGATCAGGTTCAAAATTTTATTTTCAATATATTAGGTGGACTGGAAAGTAATGTCGTTCTTGCAATTTTAAAATACTTGTCTATCACTCATCAGGTCATTGAATTTTATCGATCTCGCATTGAAGATTTGCACACTAGATGGCAACAGGCTGTTGATAACGAGGACGATTACATAATTAATTAAAAATAGAAATTTATCAAAAATTTGTTTGGATTTAATGTAAAAGAAACGACGTTACTTTCCAGAGTACCTAATAAAACTAACGCGGGCGGTTTTCTTCTAAATGTAGCAGATAGGATATAGGAATTGCATCGAAGCTTCGATAATAATAAAAGTGTCGAAATTTTCAGATTTTGTAGATGCTAATGTAACCAACGAAGGCGTCACGGAAACTCAACACGCGACTTGCAAAATTGCAACAGAAGAATTGGTCGCCAGCGCGCGTACCACCGTCACAAGGGTACTCACAGGAGCCTGCAACGCCAGTGAGAAATCGCTATTAAAACATACGATATTTCCAAGAAATGATATTAGGTGGACTGGAAAGTAACGTCGTTTTTTGCAATTTTAAATACTTGTCTATCACTCGTCAGGCCATTGATTTTTATCGATCTGGCATTGAAAATTTCCACACTAGATGGCAAGAGGCTGTTGATAACGAGGCCGATTACATAATTAATTAAAAATGGAAATTTATCAAAAATTTGTTTGGATTTAATGTAAAAGAAACGACATTACTTTCCAGTCGACCTAATAAATTATAATGTACGATCTTTCAGAGACGATCGAAGAGAGATTGCAAGCCCTGGAGAAGAACTTGACCCAAGAATTGGACGAGATGAAGACGATGCTTCGATCGGTTTTGCAAATCCAAAGAGATTTACTAAAATTACCTAAACCGTTGCGAGAGGAGACGAACTACAAAGATCGCTACGAAAATTATCACAAAAATCCCGCACCGTCGCCGAGACAGTTAGAGATCGACGAGTTCAACAATACCATCCAGGAGATTCTATCCATAAATGGTTCGTTTATTTTATGCACCCTAATCGATCGTATTACGTATACGCAACAAAGATACGATGCAAACCAGCGAAGGTTTAATTTGTTTCGAGTGATCGATATACTTCCGGGATTTCTTATGCAATTCGGATATACATAACGCTGGAACACGAACGCGCGATTGTAATAATAAAACAAGCAACAATTGTTAACGCGCATCAATTAGTACGTTATAATTAAACATTTAACGATTATCTCGGTATTTTAGTACGCCCAGGGTCGAGCATGTAACGATTAACACGAACCGGTTGAACGTGTAATAATTTTCATAGTATTTTGATATGTCCAGGAACCGTTTTCCTTTACTACTGGCAAATAAAAAACTTCAACGAGAAGCTCGCCAGTTGGAAAACCACACGGTCCGAGCGCACTTCCACGTTTTATATCGGTCAGAATGGATACGCCATGTATATCAAGGCTACGCCACGCTATTTTCCAGACGGAACCGTCTTTATGGGCGTTGGACTAACTCGTGGTCGTCACGACTCCTTTCTTAAATGGCCATTTACCCACAAAATGCGGCTCGAGGTAATATTCCAGATTTTATTTTGATAACGAACCAGCAATCGACGCGCCATCAACTTCGTCTCATTGTTAACACTTTCGTTGCGGATAACGCACATGTCCAACTGAGCCCTTGCCATGTATACATATACCTATATGGTTGTTTTTATTATTTTTCAATTTTTATTATTTTTCAATTTTCATTTTTGTTGTTCGGCAATCATATTTATCACAGGGTGTCTGCGTATAAGTTCGAACATACGCAGGGTGTATACGGACGTTCGCTGGGTAGCTGCAATTATGATATTTTTTTTAAGGAAAAATTTCTTACAAATGTTCTGATACGATTATTTTGAAAAACATATATTTGTAGTAACTTATTTTATATACAGGTTGTCTACGTATAAGAACTTATAAATATATGTTTTATACACAAATATATGTTTTTTCAAAATAATCGTATTAGAATATTTGCAAGAAATTTTTCCTTACAAAAAAAAATATCATAATTGCAGCTACCCAGCGAACGGCTACTTATTTTCGGCCGCAGCGAAAGTGTTAAATGAAATAGAATCGTAAAAAATCATTCTGGAAATATCTGTTCCGGCCGCTCCATAGGTTCTGGATCACTCGTCCGTAGACCATCGTCAAGATCGACGTTCGCGGATCTGGGATCCGTCGACGCTCTGCTCGGAATATTTTTGGGGCCGTCCAAAATTAACTGGAGAACCCGACAATCCAGAATGCGTCGGCCTGAGCGTCCCTCGGCAAGTTCTTTACGCCAAGCTGCCACTTTCCAGCGACCACGTCTCGAAAAATACGAGATACATTTGGAACGGAAGCGTCACGATAAAGCTGACAGTTTTCCTTTAGATCCTTTATCCGATAATCTTTATACGAACACGAGTAATAATAATATTAGGTCTACCGGGAAGTTCCGTTCGTCCAAGTTTCAACAAGTATGCGAATATTCATTAAAAATCGCGTATACAAATTCCAATCACGGTGGCAAGAAGTCATATTAGGTAGACTGGAAAGTAATGTCGTTTCTTTTACATTAAATCCAAACAAATTTTTGATAAATTTCCATTTTTAATTGATTATGTAATCGTCCTCGTTATCAACAGCCTCTTGCCATCTAGTGTGGAAATTTTCAATGCCAGATCGATAAAAATCAATGAACTGACGAGTGATAGACAAGTATTTAAAATTGCAAAAAACGACGTTACTTTCCAGTCCACCTAATACATAACGATGGAAATTGCATTATTCGATAAAGTTTGTTCAAGGTATGACAAATTTATTAACCCCTTGACCTACACGTTATCGCACGATTTCTCGGGTCATAGTAAACAGAAAGGTAGGAAGTCCGAACGAATTACCACGAGTCAGACTCGCAGGCCAAAGAGTCAATTTGTTTTGTTTTAAAAACGTACAGAACTTTCCGGCAGACCTAATATAATTACTAGACTGCGGATCTTTATGCATTTATAGGAAATTTCAATGTGCAAGAAACTACAAAATGCAAGCAATACGCAAGAATATAAAAACGATTGAAAGTAAAGTTCATGTTATAATATTTTCAGAATAAAATTAATTTCTATGTAAGTTCATTTTTTGTAGACACGAAGATTTTATTTTGCATTAAGAGCCGCAGTCTAATAATTACTTAACACGTTGACTGCCGGACTGATTCCCAAGGGATTGCCTACAGGGTTAACATTGTGTCTCGAGACAGTTGTAAACTAAAACATCTGACGTTTGTCGTGTTATTTATTTTTGTATCGTCGTCAAAATCTACGAATTCTATTCAGACTTATTTTCATTGATACATCAGCTCTAACAATTAACTCGTGAAGTTCCTTAACGAAAATCTCTGTCACCCATATATGGGTGACGTGGCGTTCAACGTGTTAAGAGACATGTTCCCTACCTAAAACGGAATTTTAACAAGTTAAGAAAAAAGAAACTCACTGAAACATTTAGATCTGTGTAATCGTATTTATTACCCTCGTTAACAGGTCGAAGAACAAAATACATAAAATACGACTCGTCGATGCCTCTGCTGCGTTAATCCACGATAAACGACGAGGAATTGGGTAATGTCGGAGTCGCTGGATAACGACGATACTTACTTACGCTAGAGTCGCGTCGTTTATTATTAATTCTCGTTTGACTTTTAACAAAGATACAAGCAACGTCGCGGGAAAAACACGTCTTACCGTGGATCGTTTTCAATTGCACGGTAGTCTAACAATCGAATAAATTCTGTAATAAACAAAGACGCGAACGTGTAACGAAAGTTTCTCTTCGACGTTCAGCCAGCATGGCGTAACGAGATCCGCATCATTCGTGCATTCGAGCGTCGAATTTACTCCAAGGAAGTCGATGGAACGTCGAGCCTCTTATGGAGAGGGATCTTTCCGGACAGGTATACATGGGGGACATCCGACAGCTGATACTCGTTCATGTCGCGATCGATTGTGTTCTGGATGTTTTGGGAGGCGGCTCTCAGCAAGGCTTTGTAGACGGAAAGAGGAAGTCGAACGCTACCAACGGCCTCCGCGTCCAGAGAAGCCACGTTCTCGCGGAAACTCCTCTTCTTTCCGCATCCTGGAAACAAATTAGACGTTTCTAATGAAATCTAGAAGCAGGTTACGCGTTTGTTAACCAAATTCGAAAAGGAGCAGGTTACTCAATTCGACATGTATATATATATATTTTTTTTTTCAAGTGAAAAGATGGGACGGTTGTCTCACCAGTGAAATGATTGCAAAACGGTCTCTTGATCTTGAGCGACTCGTCCGTCGTATACGCGTCCATGAACTGTTGCTCCATCTGAAAAGTAGTGTCCAATAGTGTAGCTTGCCCTATTCAAAGTATTGGGTTGTCCGAAAAGTTGATGCCTATTTTTAAGAAAAATTCAAAGGCATATTTGAATTTTGATGTATATTTATTGAATTGTATATGTACCATTTTGTTCCACAACCTTTCCACCTGTTAGGGAATGTACACATTTTATTTGTTTTCAGCCATTCCGACATATTCAGACCTGTACCGCCTACTAAAAATCGGCATCGACTTTCCCAGACAGCCCGATACATATAGTGAGTGTAGAAAGTATTCGTGCACCGAACAATTTATAAAAAAAACTATGTAAAATTGTAATTTATTAACTTATTTTTTGATAAACAATGACATTCTACATATTCTCGTAAATCTCTAGAATAGATAGAGTAAAAAAAAAATAGCTGTTTATGTAAGTTGCGAAATTAACAAGAAAAAAACAATTAATCGATAGAAATGTTGAAATGTTGAATATATATTTATATATATATAAAATAATATTTTACATATATATATATATATATATATATATATATATATATATATATATATATGTAAAATATCATTGATTAAAAAAAAGAGAAGTTAAGAAACTACAATTTCACACAAAAGTGTTTCGGGAAATTTGATCGGTGTACGAATACATTCTACACCAACTGTATTTATAGTAACAATACTATACTACACAATTTCTAATAAACAGTGACTAATGCAATACAATAACGATATTTAGAATAACGTTTCTTCGTTCAGCCCAAAAATGGAGCGCGCGAGATAAAGTAAAACCACGAGTACGAATAAACTTGTACTCGTTCGGATTACCGAAAGTACAATTCCCAATGTTTGTGAAAAACGTTGCTGTACCTTGTCCTGAGACTTCTCAGAGTGCGCCATTTTCAGAGCGCAGGCGAGTACCAAAGCGCAGCAGACGTAGTTGATTGCCTGTGAGAGTGAAGTAATTTTTTATTACGGATATTCAGGGTACAATTTTTTCTACGATAATCAATCTACAACCTGTCGTCGTTTTTTACCGAAACGCGCGACGCAGTTCGTAACCGAAACGCTAATGGAATCGCTCGAAATCGTTTGAAACAAACTCTCGATAATTGCCAGGCGTAATTTCTAATAAGTACGCTGGTTATACAAGTGTCACACGTGAAGCTTTCGAACATGTTAACTGTTTGTAATCTGCTTATGAGTATAATCAGGTTTGTACTGCGGTTAATTAATGTCCGGTGATGTCGTCGGTCGATCGTTCCTTCCAGCGATACGTTCGTCATCATCCGTGTAAATAATGATTTTAAACTTGAAACAGCCAGGAATATAGTGCATCGACGCAGAGAACTAGAGTATCATTAGCCGATATCGTTACAGGTAATGACCACGGAGTTTGTTACAATACGATAGTATACTGTTAAATAGATTCTAATAGATTTGAAACAGAACACGGTCTTCATGATTTCACTGCGATATTAATTTTGGAACTACTCGAGTAGTCAGGAGATTAAAAATAATTCTAACGGAAGATCACAAGAGCCTAAGTTCTGATACTACGTGAGATTTCTTCCCAGAAGTTACTTCGTATAAAATAGGCAATTTCAAATATAATTATATCGCCGGCAGAGAACGCAAATTGAAAAACAACGCGACCTTTTAAGAGGGTGTCAACTAAAGAGTTGACGCGTTATAATAATACCTACGCTAAGAAAGTGATATCAACGAAATCCATAACGTCCCTGTATAAACAATTCACCTTAATACTTTTCCTATTTTTAATTGATACTTTAACGTCGCCATCTTAGCCGGAGCTGGGCAAAAATTTATAGTTCGTCGTTTATTAAATAAAAATTAGAATCCGAATCGTACAATAGAATTATGTTTCACGTTGTACAAGAGGAAATCTATCTGTCCGAAAAGTAATCAAAATGTCTTCGAGTTGGAAAAGTTTTTCAATGAAAAGTCGAAGGATTTGTTTAAAAAGGAAATCGAACAACTGCCTTCATCCTGGCAAAAAGTGTTAGAAAATGATGGAAATTATTTTGTTGATCAGTATTTAAGATTTCTTTAATAAACAAATGTTGATAAAATTCTGATTACATTTCGGTCCCGCTAATATTATTTCAATTAAATTCTCATGGAAATTAAAGATATATAAAATTACGTCGGTGGCTGACAATTTACGAATGGGGAACAATCATTTCTTACAACTGCATGTCTTCGAGAGTAACGCACTACAGTTGCAATAATGCCCGAGTAGAGACTCACAATTAATAAAATTTCAAAGCGTAGTATCGTTTTCGTAAATCACATACAGTGGGTGTAGAATGTATTCGTACACCGATCAATTTCTTCCAAAAAATTTAGGGGAAATTGTAGTCTTTTAACTTCATTTTTTGTAATCAATGATATTTTACATATTCTCGGAGATCTCTAATATCTATCTATTCCAGAGATTTCCGAGAATATATAGAATGTCGTTGTTTATAAAAAACAAGTTAATAAATTACAATTTTACATAGTTTCTTTGGAAATTGATCGGTGTACGAATACTTTCTACACCCACTGTAGATGACTTTATAAATAGTAGCTTGTTCAATTCGAAAAGATCGTCAGCTTCGAATACACTAATCTGTTTCGAATAGATGAAACAGGAAGATCTGAACGAAAAGCTTTCGTCAAAGAAATCTTCGTAGGGTCCCCGATGAGCCAAGAACGAAACGCGGGGAAGAAGAACGAAGAAGAAGTTACCTTCATGCTGGATCTTCGCAGAGACGATCGATTTCCCGGGAGGCAAAGGATCACCGGAGGTGCTAGAAGCAGTGTTCTATTCTGGAACTCTGGGACTTCCTGGTGTCGGATCTTCCACCGAAGGGTTGTCGGTCGCGCAAGAAGTCAAGTCCGCGTGTGAGGGATGAAATCGCGCGACCGCTCTTCAAATACCGCCCCCTCCCTTTCGTAGCTGTTCGAGGGCGTAAATACATGCGCCAGAAGAACGCATGACCGTTCATAATGCTCCTCACAATGGTACATTTTATGTTTATCGTCGAGGAACGCGGTGAGTTTTCCGTATCTACAACGATATTCCGGCCAGCTCATGTAAATCGTGCAGCACCGCGTGACGATGGTACTTCATCGTCGATTGCGACCGCTGGTGCGTCAAAGGGTAAGACGATTCTCAAGAAATCTCGAGAAATCTCGAGATGCGAGACTGAATTCTAATTGCTATCTTCTTGGAACCCCCAACTAGTGGATTTAATGGCTCAGAAAGAGAAACAGAGATGCAAATTCTTCATACTTTTTAGTTTCTCCTCGCAACTTTTTCTATTTTCATTTTAAAATCAACATAGAAGATAGCGTATTAGGTGGACTGGAAAGTAATGTCGTTTTTGCCATTTTAAATACTAGTCTATCGCTCATCAGGTCATTGAATTTTATCGATCTCGCATTGAAAACTTGCACACTAGATGGCAACAGGCTGTTGATAACGAGGACGATTACATAATTAATTAAAAATAGAAATTTATCAAAAATTTGTTTGAATTTAACGTTAAAGAAACGACATTACTTTCCAGTCTACCTAATAGATCGTGTTGGTCTCTTTTTATTCCTCCCACAAATCTTTTTTCACATTCTCTCTCTAATTATTACTTACGACTTTACAACCCGGAGTAACCAGCTTGATAACCACTGATCCAATCACTGCATATTTGCCAACACATGGGAAAACAACGGTAACAACATTCCCTAATGATACAACCGTCCCAGAGAAGACTCTGCCAAAGCATCGCGACACCTCTTGGAACATACAAACTTAATTAATACAGTGGGTGTAGAAAGTATTTGTACACCGATCAATTTACAAAAAAAACTATGTAAAATTGTAATGTATTAACTTATTTTTGATAAACAATGACATTCTACATATTCTCGTAAATCTCTAGAATAGATAGAGTAAAAAAAGAAATAGCCATTTATTAGGTAGACTGGAAAGTAATGTCGTTTCTTTTACATTAAATTCAAACAAATTTTTAATAAATTCTTTCTTTTAATCAATTATGTAATCGCCCTCGTTATCAACAGCCTTTTGCCATTTAGTGTAAAAATGTTGAATGACAGATCGATAAACTTTCCAGTCCACCTAATGTGCAAGTTGCGAAATTAACAAAAAGAAAAAACAATTAATCGATAGAAATATTGAAGCAATAAGTATTCGTACAACTGTTTAATTTTTAAAACTTCATTAAAAAAAAGGAAATTTACATTAATTTACAAGTATATAATACTTCCTTCGAGGGATTTCCTTTTGATTTTATAATTATTGTAACTTTTCTAAGCGTTAAAGTAAATAAATTATTAGTTATTCGAAGTGGGATATTCTTCAATTCCTCTATTAGAGCCATTTTTAAAAGTACTTTACTGGAAATTTGATGTTTTCTAATTCGTACGAAGCAGTAAACTAATCTGTTTACGTTACAAACTCTACTGTAAATGGTTCGTCATAAGAATCGTACAAATACTTATTGCTTCTATACTTTTACCCACTTTTCGCATCTTTTTGTTAATTTCACAAATTCTATTAACTAGTAAATGTTGTTTGGACTCTGTATAACTTAGAGATTTCCGCGAATATATGAAATATCATTGATTAGAAAAAAAGAAGTTAAGAAACTACAGTTTCATACAAAAGTTTTTTGGGAAATTGATCGGTGTACGAATACATTCTACACCCACTGTAGGTGGTGCGGACAGAGAATTAAACTGTAAACACCCGAATGCGTTTACGTGACATTTACTCCTCGCAAAGGAAGGGGTCCAAGGATAGTACTTATGACATTTTGCCGTAAAGTGAAAAATAAAAAAGCTGTGGACATCTGAAATTTTTTAGTCAAGTTCCAATTCAGGAAAAACATTTTTTGAAAATTCCAAAGTTCTGACAGGAGTTCCATCGGCACCCCAACGAGTACTATCGAAAATTCTTATGTCATTTTGCCGTTAAGTGAGAAATAAAAGATCTGTGGCATTTGAAATTTCAGGCGCTTCGAAAATTTCAAAGTCCGAAAATGATGTTTTGCGAAAATTCCAAAGTTATGATGGGAGTTTCATTGGCACCCCAACGAGTACTATTCAATTTTCCCATAAATGGATGAAAATCCGTCGTCTAATCGTAACGTTTCCCAAACGTTTTTCCCTAATAAATCTTCGACGAGTGCTGATAGATGTAAGCGCCCTTGGGAACATACCACCTTAAGAGTTTTCAGCCCCCCGTGACGTTATCGTGGTTTTTGTTATACGAACAAGACCGAACAGAAGTCAGGAAAATATGCAAACACCGAAAACGAATGGTTGAAGCGTTAAACGGTGAAATCGGAGGCAGGAAGCGGTACACGAAAAGCTGACCGATAAGAGACGCTCTGTGTAAATCAAAAGAAAGCAGGCGGGGTTAAGTACTTACAACGTTCGCACATCAGAACCCGCTGAGTTACTATAAGGTCGTTCAACCCTTGGCCATACCGACTCTCTCTCTCTTTCTCTCTCTCGTCTCTTGTTTATTTAAATTTTAACGTTCCAAAGATTAATATTCCCGATTTTAAAGATTTCTAAAAAGTTGTATCGGCTCTCTTCTTTTGTTTATTTAAATTTTAACATTCCAAAGATTAACATTCCCGATTTTAAACATTTTTAAAACGTTACGTGGATTAATTTGTATTTTACAGTGAACACTGTCCAACAGACGTGAACAGTCTCTAGTTAATTAAATTGTATAGGGTTGATATCTTTTTTCTCTGTGCTTTCAAGTTTTACTTTCAACGGAATACATAACTCGTTTTAAGTTAATTGATTCAATGTTGTAAATCACGACGGATTCATGTCTTATGAATAAGACATGCGTCGAGGGTAGTATTACTGTTGATATACGGCTTTCTATAGACATAAAATGAATAAACGACGCGTTAGGATGTGCTATACTCTCTTCGAGGAAAAACGTTTGCTAGAAAATTATTTCATTAAATTCATACGAAGACGAACAGTTCTTAAAAAAAGACATGTGTTAATACTACAAGAATTTTTCCTACTTATATCATAAAACACAGGAGAAATAATTCCCGTGTATTTCAAAAATATTTCTAAACAAAGTATATTGTTCAGTATAATTAAAAAACAAGTATCTAAACTGTAATGGACTTAGTAAATGATTCAAGTGGCGGTGTTATACAATTGCCCGGATAGCTCAGTCGGTAGAGCATCAGACTTTTAATCTGAGGGTCCAGGGTTCGAGTCCCTGTTCGGGCGTTTTTTTTTTCTTTCTTTTTACAATTAAATTTTTTGAAAACAACAAATCCCGTAACCATGTCCTCGATAAAATTTCCATGTAAATGTTGAAAAAAAAAAATATTGTTATATCACGGTATCTTTCGCTTGTTAACAAAAAATTGATACTGGCGTAACGTAGAATTACATCACGATGATAATGCAGAAATGAATCGACTAGAATCACTTGTATCATTGTTAAGATTAATCGTAGGATGGAAAGGAAAACTATAGAACGTAGTGTACAAATTTGTATTTTAATTTATATTCAATTTTTGTTTACATCGTTTGAACATTAAAATTTTTCATAAGTATTGTACATAATTACTCGACCACATTCGATATAACATGCTTAAGACGAAACTTTGGTTGAAACGAAAGACCTAGTACTAAACGTATTTTTTCATGAATGAAAATGTAAATATCTAAAAATGAGTACAGAAAATGTTTCAGTCTGTATATGTATATGTACATAAATATATGAGAGTAATGAAAATGAGTAAAACGAATGACAAATGAACATTAAATGTGTTATCACTTCAGAAGTAGGACCAGTGTTCCCTTTGTCATGTACAATGAAAATAAATGAGTCGATAGACGTGTATCGTAAAACGCATTTTCAACATTTAAACCAATGCTATAGAAAAATTTTAGAACTGTTCTTTAACACTGCCATCAGGCATACCAAAAAATACTTTTTTAACCATTTTTATAAAGAGGCCTGTTTCGATAACTCCAGGTATCATTGAAATGTCTGTATTGATTTTGTTCCAATTGCTCAGCTCTTGCGGAAAATGCCAGTCCAGGATGAAATTACCATTATCTGTTATAACTGGACCCTGTGCAAACAACACAAGTATTTAATATAATATCGATTGATATTTTCAGGAAAGAAAGAAACACTTACGGCTTTAGCCAAAGCCATTCTTATTTGTACATTTCCTCCATAACTCTCTTCGATTCGTTTTTGAATGGCAATGTATGCCATAGGAACTACTTCAATGGGAATACCTTTCTTGTACTGTTCTCCAAGTTTCTGGGAATTTTTCCTGTAAATAAGTATAATGCATTAATAAAAGTAAGTATCAAAAATACATTTCTTATAAGCTCAATGCCTACGTGTAATCAGCTATTATAACAAACTGATCTGCGCAAGATGCAACAATTTTTTCTTGAAGCAAACAACCTCCTCCTCCTTTGATAAGATTCATCTGGGAATCGACTTCATCTGCTCCATCAATTGCACAATCCAACTGTTAATATTCAGTAATGTAACAAAATAGAAACTTAATTTACAATTAACATAGACCATAATCTTTTATTTACTTTAGGGTAGGTTTCTAAATCACCCAATGTAAGGTGATTATTAAGAATCAATTGACGAGCTTGGAACGAGGTTGGAATACAAATAACATTTAGCTTCTCTTCCTTCACACGTTCAACTGAAAAGCACAATCATAATTTTTTAATATCTTATTTCACATTTGAAAAACGTATGTAATCAGTAATTTTATATATTAAGATCAAATTCATTCCTCTTACAGTAAAACGTATGATTTTAAATTTCATTAGGAAGAATTACAATCTTATCTCTTGACCGGATCAAAGGTCGCATTCTAATATTGTAATGTACAAAATTAAAAAGAAGATATTAATGGTACATAGGAGTATCCTATTCTAA